AGAGAGAGAGAGAGAGAGAGAGAGAGAGAGAGAAAGAGAGAGAGAGAGAGTTTATAGTGGTCTGGGTCAGGATTAGGGGAAATTGCGTGTGAAGAAAGGGCAAGGCGAGGGTGGGGGTGGGAGGGGGGTGGGGTGATGTACTGATTAGTGGGCTAGTGGTTGTTCTAAGGAGATAGAAATTGGGCGCCTTAGGGGGAGGGGAAAGGTTGAAGTTTTACTGAGCACTTTGTGGTCCACTTGGAGGTCCACTTGGAGATGTAGCCTTAGGATTATAGAGATAGTTTTTGTCAGCTCTGTTATTGAACACATGAGATGGAGATGAGGGAGTATGGATATGTGAGATTTGACGTAGATTGTTGCAGAGTCAAATATACGTCTGCTCTGTTATTGAACACATGAGATGGAGATGAGGGAATATGTGAGATTTAGCGGTAGATTGTCGCAGAGTCACATTGACATATTGCTCAAGGGGACTGAGTTTTATGTGGTAGGGTCTTTCTACTAATAACCTTATAACTTATCTGCGAATAAAAGAGAAAAATCTTATTCAGTTTAGCTTGTCAAAGAGGTGGTTGGTTCAGGAGGGTATGCGCACGGGCTGACTAAGAATTTGGAAAACATTTTTGAAATGATATACTGTAAAATAAAAGGTATCCGATCAAAAGTAAAATTTAGAAATATAGATCCGTCTGTTTTGTCACTGATACAGATATTGTGTCAGTATTTTCCTAATTTTTCTGTTATCGATCAATTTTTGAAATTGAACGACTGTGTCCCTTGTCTTTTTATAGTTTCTGTTGGCTTTGCATGTGCCGTGATACAAACTCATACCAGAAATATTTGTACAATATTCGTACAAACTTGACGAGTGATTGGGGGAGATACTAGTAGGTCCTACTTTTTTACTTTCCCTCTGTTGTTTTGATCTGTCTTACTTTTTCCCAGCACTAGATTACTATTGTGTCAATGAGCTTCTCTTTGCTCAAACCAACAAATCGTAACCAGTTTGTCGTGACCTCAGATTCAATGTTTGGCCAGAGGGATGGCAAAATGAATCTTAAGATCTTAAGAGGTACAAAGAGGGGGGAGGGACAGTTTTGGGGGTGAAGGGGGGAGGGAAGGTGGAGAGAAGGGAGTCAAAAGCTGTTAAGATCTTGTGAGTAACAAGCCGGGTCACAGAATTCCTTTGAAATTTGCCGCCACCCGGAATTAATCTTTGTGAACAAATTTTTACAAAATTGTATTGTAGTTAAAATTTTCGGAATCGGTGTATCAAAATAAGCAAAGTTGTTCTCGATGAGCCTGATTTGATGCGATATCTACACTTTAACAAACCTCATTTTACTTTTTAATAGTTTGTAAATTTTGAATTTGATGTGGTGCGTCAAAGTCACCTTCTTGTGCATTGTGCTGTGCATCTGACCTCACAGCTTCTAACATACTGCACAAAAAGTCCAAGGGCATATTACCTGCTGTGTTAAAACACTTGACGTCGGCACTTTCCTAGAGCTGTTACCACTTGGTGTCAGCACCTTCCCAGTACCAGTACTGGAGGCCTGGGGCCGGTCTGACACTGCCTACGGTAGTGTGGGTACTTGTACCTGCCCAGCCCGCACATCCACAGCGCACATGGCTGTGAATTATTAGTGCAGGAAAGAGGATAAAGTAAAGTGTAAAGTACAGCTCAACAAATTTTTTCCATGTGTTACTGTGGGCAATTGTGAGGCAGCGTGGTGGAATCAGGCTCTCGTCAATTTTTAGGCATATTGAGTTATTGGTATCATCTTAAAGCTTGTTCATTTTGTCTTGCTTTCAATGAAAAAATTACGTATCCATCTTCAATAGAAGTGGAGATATTTTGGATTGAAGGAGGTGGGGGTCACCTGATTTAAGAGGTAAAATTAGCGAGAAAATGGCCGCCAAAGCCAGGTAAAATCCAAAGCTGGAGAGTCCATGAAAACTGTAAATTTATATTTTTGTGCCTTTAATCAACGTTTTCGGTGAAATCCTTGAATGTGTTTGTAAATGGACATAAAAGGTGTTGAGCCAAAAAAAAAGAAATGATAAAAATTGCTAAGCAGGGAGAAAACTTTTCTCCGATTTCATTGTTTTGACGAGAGCCTGATTCCACCACGCTGCCTCACAATTGTTTCTTATGTCTTATCATAATCCCTTTCTTCCTTCCCACCGTTACATATAATTGGTTGACCCCATATTTTTTTATTTTTGTTCCAGCATTTGTCATCTACAGTTTCCTCAGCCTGTGCTATGAGTACCTGGGTGGGGAAGGCGCCATCATGTCAGAGATCAGAGGAAAACCTATTCAGTAAGTGCGATTCCCTTTTCACTTCTTTGTTAGGTTGCCATGGTAACCTCAGAAGAGATGAAGTTATTCTAACTAAAATACAGTCGAACCTGTGGAAGACGGCCACCCATTGTCAAGGAGAAAAGTGGCCATATAAGACAGGTGGCCTTCTTAGGCAGGACTGATCAAAAGGAAGAAAACAAACCATTCCTTTCTGAGGTCCTTACCAAAGGTAGCCGCTTTGTTGTTTTTGTTATTTTCGCTGGGTTTTAGTTTATTTAAAAATTTTTATTGCTGCTTTTGTGCAAGGGTGACAATAAAACGAAATGTGTCAGACAAGGAGGACTGAGTGCTATGGTAAAACGAACACATGGGTCGCCACCACTCGGAGAATGAGAGATGCTTCTGTCACAAGTTAATATTGACGTCTATTGTTACTTTGTTACAGACTGGGTAAACAGTGACCACTCCTCTCACTTACGATTAAAATTGTGAATGAGTTCTGGGTGGGCCAATGGGTTATGAGTGAGACGTGCTGATAACACGTCTCAGTTGTGAGAGATCACATGCTTCCCTCACCTGCTGTTGAAAATATTTTACCTATTGGTTAACAGTGGGAGGGGCCTACACAACCTGATCGGTTGGAGGGACTACCTAACAACAACGACCAGTGATTGGATTATGACGGCTCACCCACAACGTCAGGGGCCAATGCATGATTTATGACAAAACGTAACGGAGTCACTAACGTGGCCATCTAAGACAGACGTTATTGTTTGGTGTTATAGGGGTTGTGTGTTAAAATAAGGTGGCCGTGGCCGTGTTGGACAGGTGCCCGTTTTACACAGTTAAATTATTTAGAAAAAACGCAAAGGGGGAATGGAAAGTGGCCGTCATGGCAGGTTCAGCTGTACATATTGGCCATACCGCTCTGACACACAGATATCTCCTGTAGGGAGATGAAAAACACTTTCGTGTCGGATGTAATGCTACCTAACAAGCCTGCACATACTAATAGAGTGTTAAGACTTTGGAGAAGCCTGAAGGAAATAGTTTTAAAGCAATAATTTTACAAATTTGTTATCCGATGTTGATCCCAAAAAGATACTTGATTCTATACAGACCTTTGGTCTTTATGCTAAAATGCAAATAGTGCTATTTTAAACTTCTTAAATACTGGTTTTGCAATTACTAAATTTTTAGTATGAATTTTAAGTTCTTCAGGCCATGCTGTGAACTAATGTGAAAACAACCCAACTCTTTTCTCGCATGCTCATATGAACTTATTCAGTTGCAATTGCTGTAAAACTCTTACCTAACTAAATTGAGACAAACAAAAAGGGTATGTGCAGTTTCTGTCCTTTCTGTTAAACATCTTAATTTTCTTAGGGAAAAAAGTTTCACACTGTTTGATTAATGATTAACTCAAAAAGCTCCAGTTGTTGCTGTACTGATCAGTTTAAAAGACTAAAGACATGTCTGTGTGGCAGGCCTCATTCAGTTTTATTGATCCAGCACTTTGTGTGCAAGCAGCTGCTTTGTCTGCCACACAGTGGAAAGGCCATTATGCTTGTGGGTGGTTGGTGAGTGCCTTGCTCCTTGGTTTCCATCTTTGTCACTATTGTCCTTACCCGTTTCCTGGTAATGTGATAAATGATCAAAATCTTTTGCCACCAGCCTTCTGCAGAGCAATCAGTTTGAAGTATTTTTATGGTCAAATCTTTTTTTTTCAAGGATGTGTGTTCATTTTGCCATTGGTCATGACATTTTCTTTTATTTTTTTGGGTTAAATAGAGACTGTAATAGTTTTAAATATAAGATTAGAGGGGAAAAAGTACTATTTTTTAAAGTTCAAAAGATTTCACGCAACATTGCAATTTTTCATAGTCCTGTTTTGGTTAGGAAGGTTCTAGAATCTCTGCTCAACACTTTACCGGTAATCAGGAGGGTCAGCTCTAGTTAATTAAACTTTGAATCTACCTCTGTATGTTCTTGTCAGCAGTGTTGACATGAGTGGAATTTTTAAAATTTCAACAGCTGCTTGTTTTTTCAACTGTGTCCTTATTTTGGTATACTGTCTTTTTCTTGCACAGGTCAAGTTGGCTGTCGTGTACGTGCTGTTTTGCAGGTCGACAGTACACCATTGGATTCTTGCGCTTTTGTAAACAGGTATTATTACTTAAGGTTCTATCAAAGAACTGCAGCGTTTGTTCTGTCAGAAATTGGAACATGTTTCATTAAAGTTTGAAAGCAAAAGGTTTTCAATAAGTGTGTCTTTGGTGCCTTTGAAATTGAAGTGTCATCTTGGATTGGGTAATGAAAGTTTGTTCTGCCTGCTCATACCCTACCTCAGATATGTACTATATTTTAATTCAAAGTTTAGTGAGCTTTAAGCAAAAGGGACATAAAGCTCCTCAAGGTGAGGGAGTACCATTGTGTTCTTGTTCTTCAATTTTCACAAATCGTCTTGTATTTTCTGGTTTGTATGTCAGATGGTTGTCTGGAAGGGCATCGCTGGTAGGTCTTGCTTGTTAATATTTCTGCTATGCCTTTCTTGTTGTCTACATATCTATTTGTAGTGTTGTATGACTGTCAGTAATGTGGTGATTGCACCACTGTTCAGGTGATCTCATGGTGAACTGTTTTGGAAGCAGTCTAGTGTTGAGTTTCCAATAGAGTATTGCAAACTTGTTTGTTGTTCTTTCATAGCTCTCAACCACTTGGTTCCAATCATAGATAGACATTAAATTTCTGCTGTATTTTGAAAGATGTCTTGAACTGTACCAGTGAGTTGATATGCCTCCAGAAAACCTAGGATTTGCAGTTACATCTGTTGCAGAGACACAAATTCAATGCGCAGGAACTAGGTTCACAGGTTTTAAGTCTAAGGTTACCTAATACTTTTGTGTTTCTTTCCTCTTAGTGTTTGAGATAAAAGTTAATTCTGAGATTTTGTGTACCCTTACGTTTAGGTCATGGTATTGCAGTGGAAATAGGTTTTAAAATGTATTGCAAAGCTCAAACCTCAGCCTGTCTCACGTTATGTTTCTGTTTGCTTGTGTGTGTGTCTCCAGGCCACGCTGCAGTTTTGCTTCATCAAGCCCATCATGGCAATTCTGACACTGCTGCTGCAAGCTTTTGGCTACTACAAGGACGGAAACTTCTCGTAAGTCTCCCCTGTGCTTACTGGGCTGTCTCAATTTTTTTGCTCTTTTTGTTTCTTCACAGCATTTCTGTTCCCCTTATTTGTTCAATGTGGAGTGTGTTTTTTTCATATTATTTTGATTTTGGAATGTTAAATGTTGTTGTTACTGAGGGTGATAATCGTGGGTGGTTGGCGGGTGCTCTGGTGTGGTTTGCTTCTTCTTTCCTATCAAACATTTATTGTCTTGTGTTTGTTACTCTCTTGTAACACCTCTAATCTTCTGCACTTATATGACTTTATTGTGTTGCAAGTGCCGTAAAACACTTACTAAAACTAAACTAAAGGGTGGTAATCTAGATTATAATGAGGGAAAATTAAAACTATTGTGATGTTTTGTTTTTTTTCCTTGTGCTTCAGTCCTGCAAGTGGCTACCTGTACATCACCATCATCTACAACATCTCGGTGTCCCTGGCGCTGTACGCTCTCATCATGTTCTACCTGGCCACCAAGGAGCTGCTCAGCCCGTTCGATCCAATTCTCAAGTTCTGCATCATCAAATCGGTCATCTTCCTCTCCTTTTGGCAAGGTACAATGCCTCTACCACCCACCCAACATATGCAAGCACAAGAGCATGCACGCGTACACACACACACACACACATACACACACACATACAAACACGCACATAGCGGCCTATGTAGATGGCACTTGCTAAAATAACTGAATAATTTGACAGACTCCCAAATTGTTGTTGACATTTGATTTTGACTTTTTTTTGTGGTGGTACTGGCAGTTGTAGATAATGACAAAACGGAGAGTAATTTATTTTGTGTGTATATATTCAAGTATTGGACTTGCATTAATACACTGTTCAGCCTTCCTTGAAAGCATGGAAGTTTTTGTGCCTCATGACAGGTTGCTAGGTATGGGGGAACAAGACAACATTTACGAATATGCTTAAATTGAACCTTTTAACTTTTCTCCTTTCAATTCATTAAAAATGAATTCGTAACCATGCTCACTCCTTACTTTCCATCCTGTTAAAGAGGGCCTATGGCCACAAATGGAGTGAGATAATTTTGAAGGATAGCACCAGCCGATTGTAAGTCAATACAGTGCTTCGGAAAATTCTAACAGCTGTATTGTTAGTATTTCTTTATCGAATAAGTACATCTCCTTGTTTAAGTTCTTAATTTTTGTGTACCTCGAACACAGAAGATAAGCCTTCACATACTGCTTTATGATGGTATTGGACTGAGGGGGGATAGCTAGTGTTGCTTGGTCTATAACAGTGATTACAAATATAAACCTCAATTTATTTTTGTTTTTGTTTGCCCCTCCCAGGAGTTGTTCTGGCCATTCTTGAGAAAGCGGGTGTGATTGACCCAATCTACTCTCACAACGGCACACAGCGTGTGGGTGTGGGTACTGTATCTGCCGGCTGGCAGAACTTTTTCATCTGCCTGGAGATGTTCATGGCGTCAGTGGCTCTGCGCTTTGCATTCCCACACAGTGTGTACAGCACGGGCCCGACCAGCACACATGGACGCACTGTGTCCCTGCAGTCTATCTCCAGCAGCCTCAAGGAGACCATGAATCCGAGGGACATCATGCAGGTCTGTGACTACGTTCTGTTGTGCTTTATTTACTTTCATTTGTTTCTATTGCATCTGATGTCTAACCCCCCGCGGCAGTGCCACTGACTGAAGTGTCTTTAGGCCATTCCCAAAGGGGGGGCATTTCTCATTCTAATGCACAGTAGAATTGTAAATGGGCTGATCCAACAATGTCATGCTCATAACTGCGCCTGAACTACAACAGGGAACTACTGGGTTTTTTTTCCTAATCCTTACTATCGTCATTTTCCTCCACTTCTTTTGTATGTTTGCACACTCTTGTGACCTGCTATTTCCGGGGTGCCTTGATAGTCGAAGCAGACTTTGTGCTGTTGAAGCTAGAGAGGTGAGCAGAGTAAGTCTGATTCCCTGTAAGGACTTCTCTGTCGACATCCACCCCTTGGCGCTCATATGACCTTATGCAGTTGCGAGCGCCATAAAACCTCTACTAAAACAAACAATCAGATGTCTGCTGGTCAGTGATTTTTGTATTGTATGTGGCTTTTTTTTGCTTTTATTGCTTTTATTTCTATTGCGTCTAGTACCTTGCATGTCTGTGCAACAGTCTTTTTGTACTTTGGTTTCTCTCCTTTTTTATTTATTGTGTCGGATGTCATCTAGGTCTTCAGACATGTTGTAATTTGTTTACTGTTGTTTATTTTTTTTAAAAGCTGGGACAGAGAAAAGCCATATGCGTATGTTTATTTTGTAGTTTTGTTTCTGTGTGATTTAAACTGTACACTTTTTAAAATATGTATTTCTGTTTTGGCTAGGGCTCACCTTAGGACAGTTATGAAATGTCATTCTTCTTCTTACTGTGTCTCTGTTTGGAATGAAATTGCCAATGCCAGATATCATTTGGGTGCACCACTAAATGTGTATGTTGTCGACTTTTTGTGTAATTGTTTTCAAATTAAAATTCAAACTTTTACTACTTTTTTTCTGCCTGGGAGCAGTTCTAGATTACAGATACTGTGTGGATGTGCTTCTCATTAACTCATAATCTCTCTCTTCTGTTCTGCCCCCCACTACCCCCTCCCCCAGGATGCGATCCACAACTTTCACCCCCAGTACCAGCAGTACACTCAGCATGGGATGAAGCCCTCGGAGGACGACCACCAGGACAGTGGCTGGAGCACGGAGCACTACCAGTACCAGCAGCAGCGACCCGTTTCCAATGGTAACACCCCCGCCCAAGCTACTGGCACCACCCCGGCATCGTCGGCTCCTGGCCCTGGCAACTCGGCCCCGGCCAACCAGTCCCAGGCTCAGGCAGGATCGGGCGGTGCCCACCCGGCGGCCGCTGGTGGTGGAGGTGGCGCTACTGGCGGGGCGAAGAAGAGCCGCTTCAATGAGAAAACGACGCTGCTCAACTCTGATGACGAGTTTCAGTAATATCCTATTCTCTTTTTTCTGCTTGTTTGTCTCGTTAGTTGTATGATGTCCAATGGGATGGGTGCTCTCTGGGCTTTTCCTGAATTCAGGATTTCACATAATTTACATGTGAAGAAATTCAAAGAACATCCTGTTTTGTAATCGTTGAAGAAAATAAATTCAAGGGCATTATCTTCAGCTCTTGATGCAAAAGCCCATTAACCTCTTTGAAGAGCTTTGCCCATCCCTATATCTTGTTTTGGTTTAGATCTTCTCCGGCTAATTAAAATTTGTTATGCATTAGACTTGGAGATAAACATGTTGCAAGATAAAGGAAATTAAGAAGTGAGGAACTTGAAATTGTTGGGGTCAAGAAAGAGAAAAAAAGAAAGAAAGAGAGAGAGAGAGAGGAAGGAATGGGAGCATGTGTGTTTCTGATAACAAAAAAGAGAGGGCAGCTATCACCAACAAGAAGGCCTGTTTTGCTTTTAACGGAATATTGAGATTGAGAGTAGCTGAACAATGAGACAGGTTGTTGTTACAGAGGCAACTCATGTATGTCCTTGGAGGAGGACAGTGTCACATTGTCTGCATGTGCCAAAAGGGGTGCCACTCTTTGGGATAAAAGCATTTAAGGAAATTCTTGAGGCTTCTAAAGTGCCAGCTTGATAATGAATAAATCCTGTTTTTTCTCTCTGTGAATGTGACTGTCCGCACAAAGTTTTCTTATAGTTTGAAAGTCTTTGCCTCTCAGTCAAAGTGGTGACCCTTGTTCTGAGCAAGTCTTTTTTCGATATGTTCTGTACACCGTTCAACAGTGGGCGAAATAGAGAGAGAATCGATATCTGTTGCTCATTTTGGCTTTGTCATTTGACATTTCCTGGTTGTTGTTTCTATTGATTTCTCCACTGGCTGGAGGTGGCGTGGGTTCCATCCTGTTGTCCCTGCGCTACCATGTTGTTGACTTGTTGTGTTCTCTGGTCCCTTTGTTCCTGTTCAGGTTGTGCCGCGTGCAGTTTTACTAGATACGCACTGTACCAGTCAGGGTTCTCTGGTAATGACAATTTTCCTTTCACTTCAGATTCCATGAGGTTAATGGGAAGCGAACTAGTTTTGTCAACTGTTAAAACCTTTCTAATTACATTCTTACTGTACAAAGTGTTTGTACATAGATGTTATTCAGTGTGTCTGCCAACTTTGGCATCCTGTGAGTGACAGAAGTCTTGTTTCATCTTTGATGTAAGAAGGATGGCATCTTGATTATCATACTTTTATAGAAAAGGAATCAGTCTTTAAAATCTCATGTACTCATCCTCTCATTGCTAGATACGTATAATTGTTGTGGAGATGGAGTTGTCAGTCTCAAATAAAGTCATTCCTACTCTCTTTTCTTGAATGTTTTACATCGTGTTGGAGGTCGTTTATTGTCAATGCAAAACTTGTCTTTTAGATCAAGTACAGTTCTTTCTCTTCTCAGTTAATGTGTCTGTATGAATATGAGTAGAAATGAACAGAGTGTTGTTTTTTTTAATTGATCAGAGTTTTGGCAGCTGCACAGAACATCCCGAACTCTTGAAGGCCTTATGCCTTGACAGCTTTGCATGACTATTAGAATCAGGAAAAGGAAATGTTAAGAATGTCTATACTATTTGGGCCATGTTTCTTAGACTTTCGTTGTCTCTTTTATGTGAAATATGCTGTATGGAGTCACGATTAATTGGTTGTACTTGAACAAATACAGCTTTTAGTTGGTTATTTCTCCTGAATACATCGTGAATGGTTTGTATCGGGAGATGGTTTTGGCATTGTAATTTTGTGGCCAATACTTGTGATGCAGGGGTCGAAAGGACTTATTCTCAGCCTATCAGGCAGACTTCCTTTGTTTTTTCACTTTTGCATTGTCGTTTTTTCTACATTAGTTATTTACATTGTCGGGAGTGTTGTTTTACATGGTCCAAATAGCCTGTATGTTTATAAAAACTGTCAAGAGATGTGTGGCTCCTGTCCTGTACTTGTAGTTTGTGTATGTAGAAGAATCCCCTTTGTCCCTTACATGTGGATTCTCAGTGTGCTTGGACCTTTTTATATGACAAGAAAACAGTAAATGTGATATGTAGATTTTGAATAATGCATGAGTCTGGCTTCCCACTGCTGCCAGGGCTTGGAAAGGTGGTGGGGGACACTAGGAGTCTCCAGATCATGTTGTGAGGTGGAAGGGGAAAGGAGAGGGGAGAGGGGTGGGTAGTGAACTTGTCCCTTTATTGGGGGGGCCCACTTCAAACAATTCATATCTTCTTTTTTTTTTTTTTCATTTTTCATTGTATGGCTTCTTTTTGTGAACTGATAATAGTTTTGAGCCCCCCATCGTTTCAGCTAAGTAGAATGATGAGAGCCAGCAACGCCAATTATTTTTATGGCCAAAACTGTGATAGGGTTTGGTTAAGAGTTAGGCCTTGTAACAGTTTTCAAAATGTGCTGGTTTTATGGAATAGGGGTGACTGTTCATATTTTAAAAAATTTTAACAGCTCAATCAGTAGTGCTGATGCCATTGAAGGCGTTAAAATGCTTCATACAACAACAAAAAATTCCTAGAATTTTACCGTCTCAATTAAATGCTTCAGTCACATGATTGTTCATCTTTCTTTCTAGGCACAACATGACTCACTGTATTAAACTAATGAACTGATGGCTGATCTATAGGTTGTAGTGTCAGGGAACACATTGCTCTTTTAAAATTTGGTTAACACCAACAACATTACAATTGTCAAAATGTAGTAGGAGCTGCTGGCAGCTGTGTGGGCCATTTTCAGTTCAAACCGTTGTCTTTCAGAAAGCTGAAGTCAAAGTTAAAGATGATGTCTCCTTTTATGAAGCATGATTCCCCGCATTTATTTAGTTTTTTATTACATTCACCATTGCCTCCACCACCACCACCACCTCCACCCAGTTTCTATCATATCATTGCTGTTGTATATGTGGTAACTTTTTCAAACGTACTTTCAGGGACTCCGATTCAGATTTTTAACATACAAAGTTTTTCTGAGCTGCAGAAGATATGCGTAAGTGGCTTGAACTCGTTTCCCTGTTTGCCTGCCTGACATTGGCACACGCCAAGAGACAGATCTGCTTGAAGCATTTTTTTTCCTCCTGAGTGTTTGAGACATTTTTGCTCACAGAAACTGTCTGTCTGTCTGTGCTCACTATTGGTGGCATGCAGCGTGTGCATTATGTCAGTCGCAAGTTTTTTTGTTTGTTTATGTTTTTGTTGTTTGTAGTCACCCACAAGTGATGTGCAAGACTCCAGGGGGCCATGTTAATAATGAGTGAGTTGAACGTGCGCTGTAGGTAAACTGACTTCCCACTATGCTTTTCTGGGTTGTTTGTTGGTTTCCGTTGTATGTAAGACCAACTCACACATTATTTATATGGCTCCCAACCTTTTCTAGTTTGTTTTTCTTGACTACAGCGTCAAAATCCTTTGTTTCTGCTGGTATTTTGTGCACTACACCCTTAGACACATCATTCCTTCTCAGCCTGTTGTTGCCCATATATACATATCCTTGTTTGAACCTGATCTGCATTTTTGTCCTGCCCTTTGTTTTTGTCAGAAGAGTTTGGGTTTATAAAAATCTCAGTGATGTGTGCGTGCTGATACAGAGCATTCCATAGCATCTGGTTACAATTTTTCTCATGAAACTGCCACTGGTTTCATTTGTGATTTGCTAAGTTTTGACTACTATTTTTATTATTGCTTCTGTAAAAAAAAAATGTTCGAACAGCACTGCATTTTCGTTACTTCTTTTCCGCATGAAAAAATATTGAATGCTACGCATGACATATGATGTTCAACTCTGACAGACCTATTGGCTTCTAACCTTATTACTTGATTATCATCCTGAATGACAAAAAAGAGTGTTTACCAGGCAGTGTGTTTAGGTTCTCTAAAGCGGTGTGGTGCAAAAGTCTGAAGTTTATTGTAGTTTATTTAGGAAAACGTTTGAACCAAGTTCACTTCCACATATAGACTAACAGGTCGATGATACTGAAACATTTTTCCTTTTTGGATTGCTTGTTGATCCGCCCTTCTGCATCACATGCTATTAGTTTAGAAAAGGTGGAGACATACGTGTGTCTTCCCTTCTGGAAGTTTTATACATTTGTTTATGAGATTCCACAGTTCCGAAGGGGTGGTAGGAATTATACGCTTAGATATATATCGATTTAAATGACATGCCTGGTTTTCCCTCCACATTGTCATCTAGTAGTAAGACCATGCTGAGAGACAGGCTGTCCTCAAACACATCAAAATAACTCATTCATGCACTTCATCCTTCTCATTAAAAAAAACCCAAACACTCGTGATCATGAACAGAAAACTTTGTGTTTTTGCCCACCAACCCTGAATTTTGTGTGGTTCTGAAAATCCAAATGGTGTTGTGGTATTTCAGTGTCGTCTCATAAGTCTTGTGATTGGCTGTGCGTGTCAGTATCCTTGTGCACTCAGTGGCATGGCCTACTTCTGTAGTTTATAGATATTTATAGTCACCCAGTCTATAAAATGATGTTTTCTTGTAATTATTAACTATATTTCGTGTGGACATGATATTGTCATTGTTAGAAATAATAATTCTTTTGTGCTTTCAGACAAGTAACGAACAAAAAAAAGATTTGATGCTATATTTTATTCATATATGTAAATTCGTTATAAGAATCAAACTTTTTTTTGAGTAAAGAATTTACAAATAATTACTTTAATGCCTATTTTTTTTGTGTGACATCTAGGGTCGTTTCATCGTTAGATTTCTGTGAGTGAAAGAGTGGAAAGCTCAAATGTCCGTGAAATATTAGTCCTTTCCTGTAATCATCTTGTTAGGTGCACTGAGGTGTTAGATCACATTTGCATTAAGCTGCTACGAGTAGTAGTCCTAACTTATTAAATCCGTATAATTACTTGTTTTCTCCTGACAAGATCCCACACATTGTGATCCATAGTACTACCCAACCCACCCATCCCATCCCCTCAAATTATCAGCATTTTTGTCTCCCCATTGTAATTTGCTGTCAGAAAATATTGTAATATCAGAGGGCATGTTCATAGCTTGTTAAGTTTGATGTTCTGATGATGTCATTGGATGTAAATCACAAAAAAAGCTTATTGGTTTAAAAACAAATTTGCTGTTTTTAGTGATAGCCTCTATGTGCATACCTGGTGGGACCCACTAAATGTGTAGATGTCACACGGGGAATTGATGTTTACAGCAAGTTGAGGAAGTAGTTACTGCATGTCACGTGGACACAGATTAGTCAAGAGTGCTTAAAAAATTAAGAGGGAGACAGCACTACGATTCTCACCCAACCATTGGCATGAAAATATTCCATTCAAGGCTCATGTAGAAAAGGATAATTCAGTGAATCATCCAGTTCCATCATCGTCACATCCTGTTGAGCAGATTATTGTAATGAAGATGGCCCCTAAAAGTAAAATTGAGGGTTTTGAGACATAAATGAGAGAGCCGCTTCTTGATCTATGTCCATTGTCTTGTGTCACTTGCCTCTGTGTGCATTGAGCTGTCACATCAACATTTTGTCATTGTCTTTACTGTACTCTGATTTGAAGTTTTTTTGCATGCGTTTGTCGATAACTTTTGTTTTGCAAGTTGACATATCTCACACTAAAATGCATTTTATGTTTTGCCAATAACGATAAATATATAAATATATATTTTCTTTAGAATGAATTTTATTGCCAACTGTTTGAAAAATATCATTACATAGTTGCTCTGGCAAAATATGTTTTGTGTAATTTAATGCCTCATGCTTCAGTCCTTGTTCAAAATGATTATGTTTACTAGTACAGAGGCCTGATCATATCAAATATGAATGGTGACTATTACGGTCCCCCTTTCCTCCTGCATCCCTCTCCCTCCCTCTCCTCCCACCGACACACACCAACGCAATCCCCTTTTACTTATATTTTGATTAGAAAAAAATAATATAAGCAAGGGTATTTGTCTTTCTGTTTCTAAAAAATGAGGCTTATCTCAGAAATAATGACTGTATTTGCTTTTGCTATTTATGTAAAGGTCCTCTGTAAGCCTGGACAGCTCTCAGCTTGAATGTCTTGGGCTGGTGTGTTATCTGATGTATGTGGTAGGTTTCACCATTGTGAAAAGGAAAACTTTTGAGAAAACTATTCTGCCTCCACATTAACAAGTTATCAGACATTCACTAAACAGGTGATTATTACAAACGTTTCGGGGAAAACATACATTTCTATGATTAAAATGATATTTGCCAGTTACACTTGAACATTTACAAAAATTGTAAAACTTTTTCTTGGATATAGTCTGTTTATTTGCGTTTCATTTTGAACTACTGCTTATAAATTCTTTCTTCCCCTTGTGTTGATTTTCTTTTGTTTTATCATACCAGAAATGGAATGCCTCAATGTGTAGATGTAGGCTATCTCTGTTCTCTTGTTAGGTAGAAAATCTTGATGTGTATGTGTAATAAGTTCAGGAGTGTCCACTCTGTCATGGAATTTAATGTACTGCAGACTGTAATTCGAAGCATTGTTGAAAATTGCTGGTCTTTTGTTGAAAATGTTGCTACTTTCATTAGGCTCTCCTTTTTGTATAGAATTTTTGTAATAGCCAAAGGATTGGACTTTTTAACAGTTATGTAAATGGCTCGCTTCTGTTGGGTAATAAAAGCAGTCTTCAGGATAGGGGTTGATTGTATTTTTCTTTTTAGAAAGCCCAGGTCTCTCTATTTATTTTGAGTTTAGAGAGATACTCAGATTTAGTATTCTTTACTGTTCCATTGAGGATTGTCTGATGAGTAGGCTATAATTCGCTACTAATTTTTTTAAACAAAAAAATAAAGCACCCAACTTGTCAGTAGATGTTATCTCCTTGGAAGTGAGTTTTTCAGAATGTTGCTTGAATTGTTTTCTCTATACCACAGACTTGTTCAGTTGTTTCTGTGTTGCAGCAATCAGCTCAGACAAAGTACTTATTATTCTTACTATGGCACCTCTTGTTCTCATGTCTGATGTGCAGGTGAATGAAGCACACAAACTGACAATCTGCCATGTCATTGGTGCAGCCAAGTTTATTCATTCTTTACTGCAGTTGATTGTGTCTAGTCATGAATGCCTTCTTTCTTTCCTCTGAACAAGAAATATCTTATTTACAAAGTGGAACAGATATTATTTTCATATTTTCACCCACTGCTGAGCTGTCCATGTAAAGAGCAGTTTGTTACACATGGAACTCTGTTGTGTCTTTATGCCTACCTATTATTTTTTTTTTCTGAACGTGTGTACTTATTTATTCTTCTCATGTACTTATTCTATGTCATTTTGAACAAGAATGTTTAAGCGTTTGGTATCATGCTGTGGATGTTTTTCTTGTCTTTTCGTATTATTTAGAATTTCTGTAACAATTTCATTATGTGAAGTGTTTATTGGTTTGGGGTTTTTTTTAAACTCTAGAAACAAAAAAAATGAAAAGAAGATCTGATCTCTTAAAAAAAAAACAACTAAGAAGAGATTCAGTGTGATTCTGCCATTTGAATTGTTGAACACTGGGTCTCCAGTCAGAGCAGTTTTAGCTCTGTTTGAATTGATTACACGGCTGTTCTCTTAGGTTCCATTTCTAATTGCAGTTGTGTTTTTGGTTTACACATATCTCTTTCTTATGTTTGATTGTTATTTTAAAGTACAGAGGGGTGTCTTTGGAAGCTAATATTGAGACTTAATGTAGTTGACTCTCGCTTACTCAGTGAATGGCAATGTTCTCTTTCCATGTGAAACATTCCCTTTTCATAATGTGGCAAATTTTTGTTTGCTTACAACTTTGATGTTCATGACACTGCTCTTGGCAGTTTTCTCATTGACAAGGCTGGAATGTTTTGGAGTGTGTGGTCTGCTTTTACACCTATCTCCAAAGCCGAGGTTTTTTAGCCTGAGGGCAGGACGAAGCGTCATGTGATGGGCCTCCCATGTCACCATGTCAAGGGTTTGTTTTTGTCATTTAGATGGAGAAAATGTCCTCAGAAAATGCCTGCAATAAGAAAAGTTCTCTTACTTTGCTACAAAACTTTTAGATTCCCTGTCTTGAGTTGCAAAGAAAGGGTCTCGGTTGTTGTAGCAAACGATAAGTTTTGATGGAACAAATTGATATTGGCTCATGCACTTTGACCCTTGTCCTGTCTTGTCTATGTTCGTAAGGAAACTTAGTAGTAATATGATCTGACCAATGAATTACTTTTGATATGGCATTAAGTACTTATAAGAGCGCTGCTGTCTTAAAAATAGTGCAACTTCTTTTCCAGAAGAGAGAAAAGTGAAAAAAAGTTCAAATATGTAACTGGAAGTATTGTTCCAGTGTCACTAAGTCCAAAATAATATGTTTTTTATTATCTATGACAGTAATTATGAAGTGAGGCTAATGTATTAGGTCAATGGTTTTACGCATTGACCTTTTTTTTTCTAAAGTTTGTTCATTTTATTCTATAGCCATTCTCAATTCTTTACTCTACCTTCTTTTCAAATGCTCTATAATATGGTAAAAAAAAAGCCATATCACCCCGTTTTCTATGACCAAATATTGGTTTATATTTAGTGTTACCATAAACTCCTAAACCCTTTTCTTAATCCTATCCGTACATTGTGTTTTACTATCGTATCCATACGATGTAGGGAACTCTGTGCCACCACTTTCTAAAGAAAAAATTTACTCGTTAATCCGATCCATACACTTTGCATAGCAGTCTCTCAAAATGATTTTTTGAGAAATACTGAAAGTTTCAAAGAGATCTTCATACTAGAACTAGAAGTATTTTAAAATGTGAAGAATACAACCCCGGGGGTACAAAACGACTCCAGGGTGTACGGATAGGGTTAAGGTCATGGTTCTCCAACCTGTATTTCCAGCATTAATGGTTTTGTGTGTTGAATTCTTTAAAATTCTGTAAATCTAATCTACTTACCTCATGACAGAGCCATTGCAGTCTCTCATTTATTTGTCTGACGCTATTCACTGACATTTTGATACTTTGTAACTGGGTCCTTCCCGTTGAAGAATTTGAAAGTCCCAGGGTCCTAATCTCACTCTGATATAAGATATTGAATTATTATGGATGGAAAGCACGTGTCAGACAGTGTCCCATTTCACCAAGGTTCCTATGGTCTATGAGGCAGCTTCAGGGTTTATTGGTTTGTTGTATACCTTTTTTCCCCCTAAAGGGCCGGCTTTTTAAAGCAAAGTTTTAGGAGTGTTTTCCATTCTTGCCGAAACAGTTGAACTTTTGAAACCCACTAGAGATGGTTGCATGACTTATGTAAATTATACTTTGACTACTGTTCTTGTTCACTTACCCAAAATATACTTATGAATGTAAATATACTTGATTATATATTGCAAGCTTTTACACTATTTTACTCCGCTCCTCCCCATTCATGTCATTTTTGTTTTCTTATTGTTATGTTGTCATGAATCATAACGAATTTTTTGGCTGTGTTGCACAGTGATCCCAATCATTTAAGACCTGTACTTGCGTACCACAAAGAAAGAAAATTGATTTTGAAAGAGGTATTGAATACTTCTGTTATGGTCGAGAGCCCTCTTCGTTTAAGATCAGCTTAGTGGATGCTTGAGGCTGTTAAAAATATCCGGTCTTTAAGTTGGGGAAAGTCGCTGTGAATGGTATTATTTTTTCAAGTAACATGAAACCTCAGCTTACTTGAATTTTTTCATCTTGTTTTATATATAGAAGCTTTTATCTGCACTCTTCCTGTCTCAAGTTGCTTACCTGTGTTTGCTTGTCCACTCACAGAATAATTGAAAAGAAAAAAAAAGAAAAACATTGAATCAAAAAAAACGATTTCGCCAAAAGCTCATCAAATCAAATGTGATACTCGTAGATTTTTGAAAGTTGGTGTTGTTTTTGCTGTTTGTTACTCGGTGAATTTATTTTGTTTGTGTAGGTCTATTTTTGTCGTGTTGTTAGTGTGGCAAGCAGACCACATGGCCAGCAAACTCTAGGTATCTCTCCCAGGGCAGGCAAAACAAATTTAAAAACTTAACTATTATTGCTCGGATGTAATAAGCCAGAAATTTTAAAAACAAATTTTTATTAGTTTCTTTAATTTGTTGGCTGTGTGTGCTGTAGAAATACTTTGTCAAAATTCAAATTCTTAATATTGAAAAAAGCAAGATAAGGTACGTGATAGTTTAGATACAATTTAAAATAATAAATGAAACAGTTTTTTTTCTCTCTCCTGAATAATTTTGCCTCCAAGTCAAAGCTTAAAACAGTTGAACGGCTTGCCAACACAGTGCTTTTTTTGCATACTATAATCTAAATAGCCACTTACAGCATATCAACATTGGTGTGGATTACTCCATCAAAATTTTGACCCTTTAAACATGCTCATGTAATTTATAACATAGCTTTCCATTGGCAATAATGTGTCAATCTTGTATAAGTAGTATTGTCAAGGCAAACATTTTAAAGTGCCCAAAAAACGAAGTGGTGTAACTATTTTCAAGTTCCTAAGATTGCCTGGAACACTGAAGATACTTTAGGGTCAAGTGTTAACAAATACTTGTTTGATTGTTTGGCAGTTGACTTGTTGATGTGTTTGCCGCTATTCTGACAAATAGCAAGAGATTTTTCTTTGTAATGTGAACACCTAAGACAAACACAAACACACAGGCACACACACTTGCATACTCTGAAGTTTGTGTGAACGCCCATGCACACACACACACACACATGCGCACGCACACACACACACACGTGCACACATAGACACACACACGCACGCACTCACACACACACACTCACACACACACACACACGTGCACACACACACACACTCACACACACACACACGCACGCACTCACACACACACACACACACACGTGCACACACACACACACACACACACACACACACGCACACACACACACACGCACACACACACACAGAGGTATGTGTCATCAGCAAGCACGCACACTCAATCACTTTTATGCATGATTTAACATTTTTGAATGTACAGGTACTGTTGTGCTGAGTCTGGAGAAATTATATGATATCACCATTTCTGTTGGAAAATGCTTGAGAACAAGTAAACCAAGCAAGTAAAGACAGTAAACCTATATTTTTTCAGAAAGTAGAATGTACATAGAAAGTAAAACTCTTTTGTGAAGTAGTTAAAATGTTTGGTGATATAAAAGAAACCGGGATACATGAATAGCGGCTGAAATTACTGCCAATTGAATTGGCCACACCACGACAGAATGACACTTGCAACTGATTTAATCGGCTGTTGACCTTGGAAGGGATAAATAAATTTCATAGTGATCCTTTCAGTGCTGGTTTTATTGTTGAGCTCTTTTGCTTACAAGGATTTAAAAAAATATATGATTCATTCTCTAGAGTTGTTATACTGAGAGGAAAACTCTCCCTTTGGGTTTGTGCTTGACTTTGTGGACTTAATCCAACAGTAAAATGGTCTGTTAAGCTGGGAGTGTGTACTATTTGACATGACACATGAAATCGATATGGGTTGCAAATTATTTTGGCAAGTGCACTCAAATGCTGTAACTATAGTCCTTTTGGGTACCAAGTTAGTTCATGATAAAGGTATGAAAAAAGAAATGGCTAATGTAGAGACTGGGCTCGTGGAAAGAGTGTACAAGTGTTATTGTAGGGTGACCTCTGTGTGCAATGTGTTTGTGGATCCATTTGATGTCGAGCTCTGCCACAGCATTGCTGAGCCTTTCGACGTGGGAGGAGGGAAGAGCTGACACAGCACTGGAGACGGTCAGGAAAGAAGGATATCACTGGACCACGCACAAGCTACCCAGTCTCAAAGATTTATACTCAACAGATGACACAGAAATTATTTTTCGTCTTGGTATCAAAGTTCAAATAGTTTACTGCATTGCTTTTTTTGGTTCTTATTTAATAACAGTTTTCTTTACAGGATCCATGCCAATTTCTCCCACCATGATGTTTTATTTTAGATGACACTAAATTTTACATCTTTGCAGTATCGTTTACATGACAAGATGTTCTCCCAGCAATTAGTAAAATATATATATATACATGTGTACATATATATGATCATGTCCAGGAATACCAGCCGTTGTTCCATAATTTGGAGTGGACGTGTATGTTGTCTGGTCGTAATGGTCATTGTTTTGTGAAGAAGATTACTCTTCCATCTTCTTGCTACTTCACGTGGAAAGAAAACTATATGTACTTTGTGCGATGCCTATCGTCAAGTAAAACTGTCTGGATCATTATTGTCGATGTTTGTGAACAAAACATGAACAAATAAAACTTGTATTATTGTGAATGTGAACTTGGAAAGGATTTCTCTTCATTTGTGAAAAAAACAATTGGGGGTTGCTCTTGTGTGAGTCTTCTTCTTTCTTCTTCTTGATCGCATCAATGCATCTGTGAGTAAGATGCTCGAAACGCACAAGTCTATGATCTTTCAAGTCCCCCCCCCCCTTTGCCCGGAAGGGATTTCTGAATCTTCAACTCACAGAATTAGTGTTTCACATGCAATCTTAACTCTAATAATATATATATGCAAAGCATCTAAGTGATAAAAATATCTGAATATTTTCTGTCAAAACTATCCTTAGAACCAGAATTAAAGAAGGTAGAGATGATACAACAAAGTCAATGTTTTGGATGTAGAGCTGTATACAGTCAGGTACAGAAAACTCAAACATGTTGAGATTCGGAACTTATAATATATAAGTTATATGACCTTATTGTGTTGCAAGTGCCGTAAAACTCTTACTAAAACTAAAACATTTTGGGGATTGACAAAAAATGTGTTTGACACATAATTCGGGTTTACCACAAAAAATTATGGAGATAATCAGATGGGGAATGGCAAATTGTATGAGCTATCCATAAATTCAAGTTACATGTGCCCGACTGTACTTCAGATTCTGAGCATTGATACTTGAGTGTGTTGTGGTACCTCTAGAGGGGGCTACTCCTCACGCTGGCGAAGTGATTCTACTTAGTATCCCAAAAGTATTAGTACTGCCATTTGTTTGCAGATAGTGATCTAAAATATTTCAGCTTTACTCCGCTTTTGACAAAATTTGAATGAATACCAATGTGACACTTACAAATAAATGTAATTCTGACACAACTGGATTTAGTTTCTAAAAATTTTATAAGCAGGAAAAAACTGCTGGTCTCGTCTGTCCTGTTATATCCGAGTTTGACTCTTTTTGGCAATGCTGTTAAATAACTTGAAACAAATAGATCTACAATGTAACCCATGGTATTCAAAGGAAGCTGTCCTGGGACTCCCATTTTTTAAACCTAGTGCACACTGTACGTGGAGTACACTATGCTCTACTTAATTGTTCTGGGAGAAGGAATGGCTTGTAGAAGTAAATGAAATGAGATACTTTTTAGAATCTATCAACAAACAGCAAAGAACAAAGCTAAAACTAAAACAATTTGTAAAAATAACTTGAAGCCATGCATAAGAGCTATCTTTTTATCATGTGGAGTAATTATTGAGGGTCATTCACATGGAACATACAAGTTGTTTCTTAGTGAGGCTATGATGGGAGCTCTTGTGGTCTTGAGGTTACGGAGTTTGCCTCTCACTCAAAAGTACCAGGTTTGAAACCAGACAGCAACGGAAAATTCCCTTTCTTCTCCGTTCCGTTCCCCACTTTCTGTTTTCTGTTTTTATCTCCACTTTTGCGCTCCTGACTTTCTGCAGCTTTTCTACTGTTATTCCTTGGGTCCTTCTTACTGCTGTCTTGATATTAGGGTAGATAAGATCCAACACCTGGCCTTCTCAGATACAGGTGAAAAGTCTCAGAGCTCCCATGTGCTAGTTGCGCACGTTAAAGATCCCTTGGTGATCCGACATTGATAGAGTAGCCTTCAGCCGCCACCTGGGCAAAATTCAAAATTAATTCCTTCCAAACTGAAAATGTTTAATGTGTCCCACGCACTCATATGACCTTATGCAGTTGCAAGCGCAGTAAAACATTTGGATCTACAAAAATGGGGCTGTGATGAAGTTGAAGGGTCAGACCACATGTGAGTGTACTAACAAGCCTTTCATGAGTACACCTCTCTCCAGCCACATCACTGAGCAACCCTGTCCTAGCCTTTATGAGTATGGCTGACACACAGCAGCTTGAGGTCCAAACCTGAATGAAAGATTTTCTTCTTCACACAGCAAGAGGAGGGAAAGAGGAGGCAAGCTCTCGCCATTCACTACAACCTATCCATTATCCTGTGTCGAAAATGTGCAAATCTCCAGCAAAAGCAAACATTACAATCTTCCATTCCAGGTCACGAGTCCGAAATAAAGCTGGACATTTATCACAGTAAAGAAAACCAAAATGACAGAAATCCCAACAGCGACAGCCATTACATTTATTACAATTCACTCTCAATCATTGCCATAATTTGGTTTGCCTCTTCATGGAAAATCAATATGTCCTCAGAGAAATTCGAGCCTGCAAACTGCAACTTGTGCGTCCAACTTTTGCCATTTTCGTGAGTTCGCAAATTTTAACCTTTTTCGCAAAAGTTGGGAAAATAATAATTAAAATAACCTGTACTTTCTTCAACGACTAAAAATAAATATGCCAAGGGAGACAATTCGTACATGAAACGCGACTTCTTTGGGGTGCCCATTGCGGATGGGATCAGATTTATCGGTTTGTGCCACGATAGCCGCTTTGTGCCCTCAGTCTGGCTTGCAAACCGACCCGATCCCCCTATGGTCCTGTTTGGACCGAATCATCTTCTAGCTAGATCAAGATCTACAGTAAATCAAATGTAAACATGATCGTCTTATTAGGCCTACTTAGCTCGCGTTTCTTTCTGTAGCACCAGTAGATAGATCTAGATCTAGTATAAAAATTTGTAGAAGGGTAGATCTAGACATGGATCGATTCATCATGAAAACTCCTAAACCACGCTGGTCACTCCTGGCCAACGTCAGCGAGAGTTTAAAGACCTGACGCATGTGTCGGGGGACAAACTGTTTGGTTTTCCATGCAACCTCCATGCAGTTGTTTTTTTGTAGACATTCACATACTACCGATTTTGATCTAACAATACTCAAGTTGGTGACTTTGATTGCAATGAGCATACGCAATGTATTCCAATAATTCCATGAAATTTTTGTTAGCTATTTAAGCTATAGGGCCTATATGTCTTGCAACTTTTGCTAATTTTTTTGCAACTTTTGCTCTTTCCAAATACAACTTTCTCCGGGGACAGGTTGATAATGTTGCAGCGCAACAAACATCACAGAAGATGCCAGTATGAAACAAAGAGTTCACCTACATTGTTCAAACAAGATGTTTGTTTGCCTTCCTCTAAACAAAAAAACTAGATACCTGGCCTTGTTCATTCAACAAATCTGACGAAAACATAACATGTTCACGAAATGTTGAAAAAAATAAGTCTTTATTTTGCTCACTTGAAAAAAAGAGAAGTCAATGAATCACATCTAATAGCATTTTATTATGAAGAAGGACAGGGCAGGAGAAAAAAAATACATGTGATAATCATGTTCAGTTCCTTGAGCTTGGATTGGAAAGGGAAAATGGGGTAAAAAAAAATTTAACTAAGTGATCTCACAATGCAACACTCTTAACAAGAAGACGAAAGGTTATAAATTATTTGTTCAAAAAAATCAAATACCCAACTAAAATAAATACAAATATCCCCTTTTAACAAGAACAAAATCAGCCCTCCCCCTCACAAATATAGTTGAATGAAATTTAAAAAGGACGAAAAGAATCCAAACACTTCTATTTTCTCCAAATCTTGTGAGCTCAGTCAGAGTCAACACAAGTGCACACCTACCTTTTTCTCTTTTCAGCCTAGTAGTAGCCTACTTATATATGTGATCAATAACTTGATTTTAATTCCAATATTTTCTCACAAATGACAAATCATTAAATTTCAATAGCGAATAAAAATTGGTGGCAGTCGCTTGTAACTTTTGCTATTTAGGGATTTCATTAACCAAGTTCTCATATGAGGTGAGTGTTGCATAAAAGCATTGACCAAGTGCTGGAGACAAATGCTGCTGGAATAATACAAAAAATGTCCTTGCCATCAAGAGACACTGGTCAATTAATTTCAGAATTCAAATGTAATTTTTTAAAAATTCCTGTGATCACGCCTAACACTCCCAGTAAACAACCAAGAATAAGTAGGCCAACAGTGAATCAAACACTGTGCAGAACATGCATGTACCATTGGAAAACTAGCCAAGAAATAAGGAGTAGTAAAGAATTTCCTCCCATATATAAAGATGTTTTGTACATATCACAGTTGAAGGTCAAGAGGAGAACAGAAAAGGAAACTATGTACATTTGCACCGAGTCATCAACCCATTCCCTACCATCATCCAAAAAAAGTTAAGTTTTTCTTGAGAAAAAATTTATTAAAATAATCTTTTATTTCCAAGTCATCTTTTCAACATGACCAGACTGTCAAGTCTAACACAATGAATAGATTAAGGTTTCTTCCAGCTGCTCTTCTAAAAAAAGCAGAAACAATAAATATATATGGAAGTGATTTTATTATTCTGGGAGTTGAATTTTCAAAGAAATGGAAAGCTGCTAGTGACTTATCGGGAAGTCGAGCCATAGAAAGCAGCCTGGTAGGGAATGAGTCGGATGATGTGGGGAGAAAACATGAATTGGGAAATAATTCCTAGACAGTGTGACAATGGGACAGGTAGAGGCCTACACTCTCCGCAACAAGGAGATAATAAAAAAAAGATACATGGGAAGATGCTAAATAATCTTGTGCATTATAATGAATTCTTCACCCTTTTCAGAAACACTACAAGCTGTAGTGGTACAAAATATCAATATCATTGAGTACATTGAGATTCTAGGCGTTAACAACCTGACATGTCGCATCTGTACAAAATTTGTGGTTTTCTAATGGCATGACAACACCATCTCAAATGTGCACACACTATAGAACACACACATCCACTCACAGACAAACAGGCATGCCCACACCATGGATCAAATGTAAATATTTTCTCTTTACCATAAATCCCATACTGAAAACCTTGACTAGCTCGGGAATTGCCAGAAAAAAGGTCTCCAGAAAAGCGATGACTAGAGTTGCAAGTAACAAGCTCTAGAGTCATTCAGAGCAGAACATGTTCCTGTTTCTTTTAAGAAAAGAAAAAAAGAAAATACGGCAGCATAAGTAATACTCAACCTGACGAGCAAAAATCCTTCTTCTATTTGTGCACCTTCCATTTTTCAAAGGAGCTATTTTTCACAAGCAATATTAATAAACAGAAGCAACTCGCTGCGAAATTTCCATCGCTCAGTCCAGACGCTCAATCCATTAAGAGTCCTGACAGCTTAGCCTTGCATTCATGCTGTACAGGCATTGTCAAGACAGAGACATTGCTCATACAACATTTCTCCATCATTAGTACACAATGCAGTTCACACATAAATCATAAACTGAAAAACAGTAGCCCCGCTGACTCCTGTGATCTGATAATGGTAATCCACCGACCTCAGCAACAAGCACAAGCACAAATGGTTCAGTTTGCTTCACAATCTGCAAGATAACTCATCAAAGGCTTGGAAAAAGGTGATAGGGAGGGGATCATTAAACGGTAAAAAAAAGTTTGTGAAACTGAACCACAATACTTGGGGGGGGGGGGGGAGAGACAAACAACTCACATGACAAATGCAAATATTAATACTACTATAAGATCTGCACCATACAGTATACGTTGTACATTTAATAGAGTTGTGGAATCTGGAGGATGTAAATGTAAGAATAAGACAATAGAAATCTCAGTCCCCAGTTTGACACCTGGACTTTTCTTTCCTTGCTGATAAAAATGTCACTTCACCATCTTACCAATGATCAGGCTCTTATATTAAAAAACAAAACCTCATTTGATTTAATTCATTCTTTTACCCACAAAGTTTGCATATACAGACCACAATGTATCAATCATCAATTCATAGATTGGGTTTTTTTTTCTTTCTATTTTATCGACATTCTCCAGTTTGATTTTATGAGACAGATGTTTGATTGAGGAGAGGCATGGTACAAACGAACAGCTTCTGTTATCAGATGATTTGCTTTTGATCATTCCAATGCAGGTAGAATTGCTGGTAGGAAAGAAAAGCAAAACCAGTATTCTCTGTAACATCAGACAATTGATTGAGATTAACTCACTTGTCAAAGCAAAATGTTATTTAAAAAAAAAGGGGGGGGGGCAGGAGGGGGTGTGAACTCAGAACAGGAAACAGTGACAGTCTTTGTTCTATTTTATCATTCTTTCAAGTTCATTTGTGCAGTCATGGCAAAATATGAAAACATGTTTTGGCAATGTGATCTTACAGAAGACAATGACAAGATGCTACAAACTTTAAGAAACTTTTTTCTTCATAGCACTAAAAAATTCTGTTAAAATCAATGACAACAAACAAACCCAAAACAGGGCCACAAGCAACGTTCATTGAGCTGGAGTTTACAGCATTTTTTGCAAAAGAAAAGTCACCTAATGCAAACCATAAGGATCCTGTCTTTTCAATCTTTTCTATTAGAAGGAACTTTCTTTGTCTCACCTTACACTGTAAACTGGCTGCAATATGATTTAACTTTGGCCACCAGGGAAGCATGCAGCATTCAGAAAGTTCTACCCAGATTATCTGTGATCAGAATCAGATAAAAATAGTCCAGCACAGAAAAAAAATAAAATAAAGGTCTTTAGGATAAGACATAATGTTGGGCCGTCACATGACACACTCACTCTATAAACTCAATAGATCTACAAGTAACAGGACAATCAGAGACATTTGGTAACAAAAAGAGACCCCAGGTAAGGGTTACAACAGGACAATTCACTTGAGCAAACAAATCTTACTTTATGGTCTGAGGCTGATAGACAAAACTGTTGGGTAAACAGTTTTTAAAAACTGCAGCAGCGGTCAAAAAAGGGACTTAAGAATTTGATAATGTATCTTCATAAATGCTAGAAGCTGAGCACAGGACGGCAAAGCTGAACTATACAGGATATTTATAGCAGAATGGGACCAGATCATTATCAGGGGTTTATAAAACTGCACTCATCAGTTTATATCCACAGTTATGTTTCCATAAGAGACGGAAAATGGTTATATGGTTACTGCTCTGACCTGACATTGTACAACATTTTCTCAGAAAAAAGTGGAGGAAGCAGAGATCACAACTTCTGCCTGCTCCAGCTATAAGATAAGCCAGCAAGGGTGGAGCCAGGCAGAACAATCCCTCTCACTAACCTTCATCCCTTACAGATCATTACACGAACAGGAAAAGGATAAACAATTGAAGTTCAATGTGTAGTTTCAAAAGTATCCGATTTATCATTTGAAGCAGTTTTGACAATGGAGGTTTGTGGAGACAAAACAAGAAGAGAGCACAAAAGTGGGGGAGCAGTCGATATAAAGCAAACGTAACATTTGTAAGAATTGTTTGTAGCTGGACCTATCTCAACTCAACACTATGCCCTATATCTGGCTCATTCAACATCACTTCACCACCAATAACACAGCTTGCCGAGTGGCAGTCTGCAGCAAATCCATACACAAAGGCAACACCAGCCATCACTCCCAACTCCTAGCTTATATCAACAATTTTCAGTAATTCAAACACAGTTTTTCATCATTTTGTACACGATAGCACCATTTTCTTCATTTTTGCCTTTCATTCATTCAAAAAAAAAAATCTCCACGTCACGACCTTTTTTCCCAAACATAACCCCTCTTATGTCAATAAGCCTCACCCAACCATTCAATCCAATACTACATCCATACGTTCACCCACCCAAGCTTCTCTCATTCCAATAATAGAGAATCTTTTAGCCATCAGATATTATATAAACACAACTCTCAATGCACAAAGACGAGAAGATAGTTCAGCTGCTGGCTATATATCTCTGACATCACATGTAGTAGGAAAACAACAGAATCAGGTAAACCTAGTATGTAATGGAAAAAAATTGGGAGAGGATGAACCTTCAGATAATCGCTCAGTACAGTAGCACAAAATTATGGGACATATATTACAAAAACATGAAATTTGGAGGAGCAGGCGAAAGTGGAATCGCAAAAGTCAAGGACAAAACACAAAGGAAAAATAACCAGTTGTTTTTACAAAAAAACTGATGTTATCTATCTACAAGCAAGCGTTTCATTATGGAAAAGTAACTTGATAAATATTACTATATAAAGAATCTAAATCTTTTATACAAAAATGTTTCAACAAAAATGTACTTGTTTTGATCTAAATAATTTCAGTACACTAATGAAAGTGTCCCACAAATATGACAAAAGGAGCAAAGGGGCTAAGGTCAGTACAGGAGCTGGAACCTTCCAACACAGATAGACTGGACACATGGTCCTTGAAGTGAAGGGACATCAAAGTGTTAATAAGGAATATGCCTCGAGGCCTCAGCCTCAAGACAACAATGTAGTAGGTCCACAAATCTGAAACTAACATTAATGAAAAACGACAAGATACAATTCAGGATGAGCTTCTAAAGCGAAAGTCTAGATAAAAAAGGAATTTGTACTTCACTGTCTCTGCACAACACTCAAAGAAAAAGGTGAAATTTGCGATCAAATTGTGATCATATGCAGGGGGGCATACAATAAGACAGTATAACACTACAGAAGATTCAAGACCGCCCTCCGTAAGAGAGAAATAGTTACATGTTCTGAAGCGTCTAATGAAATAAGACAACAGAGAACTATCACACAGACCACTGAACTCAAAAAAGGGGGGAGACTGAATCAGCTGAAATTATAGATCAGAAATAGACAACGCTTATCACTCATCTTTCATGTACAAATGTCAACATATCGGTCCTCAACCAACAGTAGCTTCACCAGTACCAATACAAAATATGCAACCCATCAACAATCATCAAGAAAGGTACATGCACTGTTTTCCAAAAGCAATTTTCAATACACACAAAGGAAAAGAGCAATGTTAAGACAAGGGTTTCCCAGTAGAATTTTAAAGTGAAATTCAGATATTTTGGTTTTGTGAAAGTAAGAAAACGGATCTTAACAACAATTCTCTGAAGACCTTAGCTAACAGTGGTTTCCAAAAAAGAGGTTAATACAGCTTATTTGTTTTTTTGATAAAACATAATAAGTCATCATGAGCACACAAGTAACCCAGCTCCTACTGGTTTAATATATGTAGCACAGACAGAGAGAACCTACAAATGTTCAGTTAGCAATTGCGAACATATGTGTGGTTATATTTTCACACTAAAACACCATGTAGTCCACTGAAACATATTCACGATGTCTTGCTGGCAACCTCATGAGGCATCGGGAGACTACAAATCCTAAAAGTGTGGAGAACAAATATTCACAAAAACACGAGGTCAGGTCTGTAGGTAGTGGCAGATTTATTCAGCACTTTTTCAGAGCCAGCTGTTGTTGTAGTAAAAGACAAGTCAACGTGTCCCTGCCTTTCTTCAGAAGAAGTAGATTAGGACAACAGTAACACTGAAAAGAAATAAAAGAGACAGACCACACAATAGTACCCACAAGGCACCTGTGGGGTGCTTGAGATGAACTCCATGTAGGTCCCAGTCAGGCAGCTCCAGTTCCTCGGCGTATGAAAAGCTTTTTTGTGAATCAAGTTTTCTTACAGTGACAAAAAGATTTAGTACTTGGATGGCTGGTACCTGACGAGACTCAACCCACCATCAGTCAGCATGACAACTGACTCATCCAGTCAGAAACAGAAAAAAATACTGAAATAGCACACTCAAACGAAAGAGGAGCAGACCACATGATCTGAGCAGCAATCAGTCACCTACACTCAAATGACAGACAGAGAGCACAGACTGACAGGGAACTGAAAGACCAAAAGAAAAAGGAGTATCATTCCAACACTTTCTTCTTGAGGATGTGAATAGTAACATGTCTCACAAGAAGAAGAACAATATGATAATAATAAATCATAATTTATTTTAAAAACGATAAAAGACATTCGGCTTCCATCAGAGTAAAATATCTGTAAGGTACCAAACCACAACCCCAGAGATAAAAAGTGTAAGTGGTATCATATCTATAGGGACTGTATAACACAGGGCCTGTGCAATACCAAGATTTATCTCCAGATACAACAATGTATGGATTAAAAAATATATACCACAACTTCCACAAACAAGTAGCCACCATACTTTTCTAATCAAAAGAGAGGAAATGATTCAACTCATTCCATTAATGCTATGAACCAGACATTTACAAATCATGGAACAAGCTTACAAAGCCATTTACTCAGTTATATTTTTCAACAACATCCCTCTTACACATACAGATTATGTATACTTCGTCCAAGAGGACACAAAGAGATTCTACACTCAAAATAACAGAATGTTCCACGATTGTAAAAATGCATAAATCCACAGCTGCACAGCATACATCAGTACATATCATCAGAACTTCATTTTTATTTTCTATCTAACTGGTGCAACTTTCTGACTTTTACACAGCATAATAAAAAAGGCTGCCCATATTTACTAACATTGGCAGGTAAACATTCACCCTAAAAGTTGTTCATTTTTGCTGGTATGAAATACAGACTTTCTCATTCAATGCCAACGCTGGCTTTCAATCATTGTGGGTTTCATTATTGGCCATATGAGTTAAGGCGAGAGTTTTTGGTGGCATCAGTGATAAGATGTTTTTCTTTTACAGTAGACATTTAAAAGTCTTCACCATAGTAAAGAGACAAAGGAAAAAAATTTATATTTATATGGTCCATATGGCTCAGATTGCAATTTTCTGGGCACTGAACAGGACTGAATTTTGTACATTGGCAAATAAGCAATTCTAGGGTAAATGCTAACTGCCAATATTATCAAATAAAGACTTTGTTAAAAACAACCGTCATCAAAATGGCAGATATGAATGTACACAATGTATCATGATCACTGTACAATGCATGATGGATGAGGGCTTCGTCTCTGATGAAAGGGATACATACAGAAAGGGCCAGTTGATTTGTTCATAGCAGTCAGTTTGCACAAAACTGGCCGCTGTTTACCACAAACAGAATAGGACAATGGAAACACTAAAATGAAGTACAAGTAGCAGACCACACCGGAGTGTCCAGCAACCACCCACGCAAAACAGGGCAAAGTGAAAGGGGAATCTACAAAAGGTTCATGTCCTCCTGAAGCTATAGGCTACAGCGGCTAGGCGTCTATCTCGGCAGGTTCACCACTGCGCTGACTACTCTTGGGGCGTCGTTTCACTTTCCTCATTATGTCATTGAAGTTGAAAGGCTGGAGACAAAAAGCCTGCAAAAGACAGCAGAACACACAGTCAGTCCAAGCATCCTCCCTTGTGTACCCCGGTCATCTAGCATTGAAACATTTACTCTACTTATCTAAAAAACCTGTAAATGAAAAAAAAACAACTATCAGTACTTGCTTACAGAAATAAAGTGAACATGTATTGAGGAAGAAAATGAAATTTTGAACTTTAAGACGTTGCATGCAGAAAGTGCCATAAAAGTCTCTAATGTTGCTTTCAAAAGACAGGATACAGTTTAAAAAACCCAAAGGGGATGTGCATATACCACTCAAGAATAAAAACTTTAAAGGGAAGAATAGGGTAGGCAAGACTGACTGGAAAAAGGATAATTGTGAATTATAAAGAGCTATAAGGACGTTCTACGGATGCATAGTTAACACAACTTTTAGTTTAAGGCACACATCACAGAGACTGATTAAGATGGAAAGATTTGATTACTAGTAACATTTAATAAGATAGGCTGAAATGTTAAAGAAGAGATAGTCACACCAGCACTAGACTCATAAACATATCATGGCTGCATGGCAATGAAAACGCACTGAAGGAGGCACAGTTAGAGTAATGCACAGACGCTAGAGTTAAGACAGCCATAGCAGAGGTCTTTTAGAGACTCACTTGTGACTTATCATTATAAAGAGATACTTTAGAACAGATTGCTGACAAAGAGCCACAAGGATGTAAAGAAAAGACAATGCACCGCAAAGAAGCAAGGATTAAAAAGAAGAGAAATTTTTGTCAGCATTTTATATCATGATTACGAACCCCCCCCCCCCCCCCCCCCCAAAAAAAAAGACATTTCATCCAGTGGATCATGCAAGTGATAGAAGAAGATTTCTTCCCAAAAAGCCCAGATGTATTCTTGTGAATTTCATATGTTCTGAAATGGTTTGCTAGAACAGTTATTCATGCAATGAACATTTTCATTTCAAGCAGATGCGTGCACAACACACTGTACAGACAACCACAATCATGGGAGATGCTGATCCAGGTCAAATTCGTTTATAACTTCTTCTGATGATCTCAACTTGACCATGATGTAGGCTATACAAAAAATGGATAGATCATAGACAGGGAAGTCTGGGTGAGTTAGAGATAAACACATGCATACATACATACATACAGAGAGAGAGAGCTAGAGAGAGAGACAGAAAGAGAGAAAAACAGAAGGAGAGAGAGACAGAAAGACAGAAGAGAGAGAGAGAGAGAGAGAGGGGGGGGGAAGAAAGAGGGGGAAGAGAGAAAGAGGGGGAGAGAGAGAGAGAGAGGGGGGGGAAGAAAGAGGGGGAAGAGAGAAAGAGGGGGAGAGAGAGAGAGAGAGAGAGAGAGAGAGAGAGAGAGAGAGAGAGAGAGAGAGAGAGAGAGAGAGAGAGAGAGAGAGAGAGAGAGAGAGAGAGAGGAGGAGGAGAGAGAGATATTTACATTTTTTAATGCTAAAATTTTCAAGACACATACTTTGATAACTAAGATAAACTGCCCACCTGTATGCAATTTTAAAAAAATAGTATAACATTTTTTAAATACAAGGTAAAGTTTAACAAAGTAATTAGCTAAACACCATACTTTTGTTGTTGTGGTATTAGAAGGCAACAATCTAAAATTGTTGGGAATGTTCTACCCTTATCAGGGAAACATTAACTAACATCACCAATAAAATAATAATCAGTAAATGAACAGAAATTTTTAGAAAGAAAATGTAACTTCAGGAATAACAATTAGACAAAATCTTGTGATATACATTCCTTTTCAAAACGTTTTTTTTTCTCTTCAAAATATCATTATATAGATCTATATAGTTCACCTTTTCACTTTAAAGAACACTTTAACTAATAAATTCACATTTCTAAAGCCGAATCTTTATAAAAGGCACACTTGTTTTTCAAGAACCCCACCAACAAAAGAATTTGAAAAAAAAAATTGAGATTGAATTATAGATATATAATCTAATGGTGAATAGCTGGACATGAAAGCACATGTCTTGTACACATACTGCTTGCAAGAACCACAACAGCAAGCTGCAACACTTCTGAACACTAAACAATAAACCATATGGTGACATACCAAACCATCAAGTGCAACATAGAACCAACAACAGAAACTAAAAAAAAACCCCAAAGACAGACTTATTCTTTCAAAATTGTACTGAAAGCTTTTAGTTTAGTTTTAGTAAGAGTTTTACGGTACTTGCACTTCAAATAAGTCATACAAGTACCGAAGATTGGAGGAAAGAAGGAGGAGAGGTAATGACAATAGGCGTTATGTAGGAAAGAAGGAGCAATCCATACCAGAACACCTACCAACACTGGCCTACGTACTGAAAGCACCAACAACTCTAGTAATGAGTGTGAAGATCTTGTGTGCTGCCTATTAGCATGCCCATTACAAAGTATGTGTACACAGAACTGATGTCACAAAGAACTGAGCTACTGAAAACCGCTGTAACTAAAATGTTATTTCCCTTGAGAGAATCCTCTCTTTCAGAACATCAAGAAGAATCCATTTAGCTACAATCATTCAGCTGTGGAGAGTGTGGCATTTGAGAACAAAAGAAATACTGACCAACCTATTGTTCCCCCCTAAAAACCCTGCTGACAGTTCAATTTTATTGGCTAATTGAATTAGCAAAATTGAACTATTTCTCTGCAACCCTAAAACTAGATTCTTGAGAACCTGGCAAATAGAGGTCTGCTCACTAAAGAGGAGTCACGTTATACTCTAGTCAAAGGTACTGGTGAAGTCTACAAATAATACTTAATTCTGAAATATAATGATAGCTTGACCTGGTTCTATAGCATGAGACAAACAAGAAAAGACGAGAAATTTTATCAATCCAGGCTGGATATTCTGACTGAGCATTGACAAAGGACAAGCTATATAAATATGTGCATGCATGCACTTGTACAACACTGACATACACTGACATAGTACATACCAACACACATACATGTAGGCACAGACACATGCACACAGGTACACAGACACATGCATACAGATACACACATAAACTGGCAAATGGTTTTTCATAAGCGCACTGCTGACAGCAAAAAAAACCGAAGTCATTATCTTTCAGGCCTTTATAAGAGTTAAAGGATATTACTCCTAACTGATTTTACAAACTCAGTACTGAGGACGGGGAGGACAGAGGTGTTCTGCAATTTGAATCATGGTTACCACATATCAAAGACAAATATCCATATACGCCAGAGACAATCTAAACATTCTGGCCTTAGCACCTCAAGAGATTTGCATAAAATAGTTCATCCTTAGCTCAAAGAAAGAAAAGCACATAGTACACAAACACTACTATCCAGCCAGTCACAAAAAAACTCCGTGCCATGATGCATATCAAATGCACCAAATGCTGATGCAGTACAATCATCCAAACACAGCACTAAGAACCAGCTTTAAGCGAAAAACTGATTTTAGACACTACGTGAGAGAATACAATAGTATAAACATATATATGTATTTGAATATGTTACTGTAATTTTACACACTAATAACAACATAGATACAGCAGATGGTTGGAGGGTACTGCTGGTCTTATTTATTTCAATGGCAAACTAATTCTTACTTTCCAGTAAATTTTTCCATCCAAGGACTATGCATTCATCACTATTATTATGTCAATAAATTATTCAAACATGAAATTTTAAAAAAGGAACAAAAACTAAAATATATCAATACTGAATTATCTTATCACATGGTGCTTCATGCAATTTCTTTGAATGTACAGGTTTATCTCTGCACAGGTTTGTTTACTACAGAGTGGTAGCTTGTCTTTTCGCACAAAAGGGGTACAATTCAGCATGCAACACAGCCTTCCATTCTGCTACTGTGACACAATCGCACTGCGCATGCTGCGATATGCTCCACTTCATGGTGGTGAGAAAACCTGGGCTCGGGTGACCTTACAACACAGCACTAGAGGCAGCCGCGCAGCGAGTGGTGAAAATTTGTACGACTGGCAACATGCATTCTCACTACCATCACGCACTAGGACACCACACAGTCAGTGACATGCATGCACTACCGCAGTACAACTCTCCCTAGACTTGCATCTTATTCAGCTACACAAGTGTTAAAATCTCAACCCCTGTTACAGACAAATAACAGAGCTTTAAACTCGGAGAGTACTCCTCAAGTGAACCAAACCTCACATAGAAAATTTACAAGAGGAACTATGAGAGTCTGTATCTATTAACAGTTACTTCCCATACTCAAATACATGAAGTCTTCTCAAAACCCAAATTGTATAGACTGAAATCAATCTCAATTGACTGTTATGCCATGAGGCCACTTACAACATTAACAATACTATGATGTCTTAGCTTTCTGTGTGTGTGTGTGTGTTTGTGAGTGTGTGTGTGTGTGTGTGTGTATGTGTGTGTGTGTGTGTGTGTATGCATGTGTGTGTGTGCATGTGTGTGCGTGTGTGTGTGTGTGTGTGTGTGTGTGTGTATGCATGTGTGTGCGGGCATGTGTGTGTGTGTGTGTGTGTGCGTGTGAGTGTGTGTGTGTGTGTGTGTGCATATGAGCACATGCATATGTGTGCACACGCAAATGCCTGAATGTGAGTGTACATGTGAGTACCCAAAATTAACATGACAAGTTCATTCAAATATAATTTTTCTTTAAACTATTGTAACAGCTAGCCATAGATGGGAACCGTCTTCTAGCAAAGCAATAAAAACTAAATAAAGTCAAGGATGGGCCTAATCATGCGTTGCTAGTTCTTTAATCTTTCTAAGAAGAAAGTTCAGGAACGATGCAGCATAATATATCATTCTGTAAAAAGCCAGAGCAGGTCTGCCCACTTTGACTTTTCTGCACCAACGATATGTCCAGGTTTAGTTAATTATTTGGAGCAGAGTGTGAGTCAAGTCTACGGTCGTTAGCTCTACAAGGCACACGAGATGGAGGGTGCACGGCTCCAGTGACAGACGGCAGAAAATAGCTACCGAAAAGAACTTACGGGCCGCTAGGCAGGACAGCTGGCTGCACAACTTCAACAGGGACGGGGGGAGGAATTGTGAAGGGGATTTGGGGGTGGGGAGGGACAGGGGGCCTCACAGCCATTCACCGTGGGTGTTCTTGCTCACTCACATGCTATTCTAATTCAATTCACCCCTAGTGGTTACTACTCATACATGAAGGGCTTAAAACCTAGAACCTAACTATATGAACTATGGATCTACAAAAAAAACCCTGTGAACTTAAAAAATATAAAACATGAAACAAACCTGAACATGAAATAATACAGCAAGAACATGGAAAAGGTATATCTCACTTTTGAGATCTGGCAAATGGAACTCACTTTGACTACCACTAGCTGGCAGCTAAGGTGATAGATCAGCCTTCAACTACAAATGTCTTGAGTGAGTCGCCCCCTAATGATTTGTTATCTGTTTGTAGGTGAGGACATAAACCTGCAGGGGGTGAAGGGGAGGGCATTGTTGGACACGGGGAGGAAAAGAAACCAAATAGTATTCTTTTGTCGAAAAAAGAGGAATGAAAGAGAGGAAGAGAAACCAAATAATGTTTTTTAGCAGAAAAAAGAGGAAAGAGAGATATGAGAACTATATCAAAAACTAAATCAATAAAGCAGAGAAAAACGTGCTATCTTCAGAATGTCAAACCTGAAATGCATAAACTGAAACAATGAGAAGGCAACCAGCATACTTGTTTAATTCTTCACACACATACCCTTTTGGGTTCTGCAGTGAGTATTTCCTTTTTCAGTAAACGAAGAATAAATCATAGGACAGGGAATGATCACATAGCTCAGTCTGGATGCATTCCACGCTCTCTTTGACTTTTTCATTGAGGCAAGGGATGCAAAAAGTAGAAAAAGCACAAGGTCAAGGGTGCACACCCAAAAGGCAGGCAGTAAGATGAAGGGAAAGTTAAGGAACTGTCCAAAACCAAACCCGAAAAAAACACAGTGGCATCCGTCATTTGTGAGCAAAACCGTATTCAAAACTCATGCCATGTTCATTTCAGTTTGGGGGTGACAAAGCATAGTGATCTTCAAAACTAGTTTCATCCCAATAGCAATATAAGAATTTGCCAAGTTTGCTGGCTATCTATAAAGACAGAGCTGCTGAAGTTCCATTTCTCAGGATTTTTCCCTTGAGTGATACAAGCCTTCAGTAAAATGAGTTATCCCCCCCAAAAAAAGAAGAAACTGCACAGCAACAAAAGAGTAATACAAGAAGTCACTGAATCAGTATTGCCGCACTTCCCTCCCCGAAAACAATAAAGTTGTAAACAGAACAGACTGAGACTCAAGAAATCTTTAGAAATAAAATATCCATCAAGACGATACAAAAACCTTCTTGAGATGCGTGTCACTCATTTTGCCAAATCCAACCCCGTCAACTCCCACCACTACCTTATTCGTTACATTCAAACCATCCCAATATTGGCAACTCATTTTGTTTGGAATAAAAACCACTCTAACGTCCTTCTTCAGCAACCCTGTCTCGGTCTGCCTTTACCACATGTATGTAACTAACAATTTTATACATCACAATACTGTATGACATAATGTTTAGAAAGCATGAAAAATATATAGATACCTGGAACTGCCTCACACACAACGCTCAAAATGAAAAAAATAAAATACAAACACTTTGATCAATTTGTCAACAATACTGCAAGCCTGGATGCATGAGACAAACAAAAACAGAAGAGCAGCCAAAAATAAAATGTGAAGAAAAAAAGCAAAAAAGACAACATTAGTTGGCACACTGGACGTACTCATAAGTTATCTCTGCTTTTTTAAAACTTGCCAAAGGCCTGGTCTTAGTGTCACCAATCTCCAAATGATGTTTCCATGGTTCCACACAGTGCCTAGGCATTTCACAAGTGCTCTCATATATATATATATATATAACATATATATATATATGTACATAATAATGATATGGATGTGCTTCTGCATATGGAGAGAGTACAAGTACACATATGTGTGTGCAGAGTAAAATTCGCACAACATGACTACAAGCTCTCAGACCATGAAAGTCTTCAATGAGAGCTTGTCACCTGGTATTAACACTGACGTATGGAGATACAGGTTTACTGCTGATTATTTTTGCACAGCGTTGAAACAAAAACAAGGAAACAATGACCCTTCACAGGAAAATCAAACAGAGCAGGCCAAGAAACTTTCAAAACATCTACAATGAGGGCTTTTGGGTATAAAAATTGAAAAAAAAATGTTAGCATCCCTATTTCAAAACAATACCTAACAGAAAGCAGAATAAAAATTTAGTACCAGTCAAACAAATATTTTGAAAAAAATATTAATCACAAAACCAGTCGACATAATATAAACAGACGGTACGAGGTGCACCAAACAAAAAAACAAAAAAACAAACAAACAAAAAGACAGCTATATAGCAAAAATGTTAGCATATATTTAACACCTTAGATTAAAAAAACCTCCACAAACTAACAAAGAGAAAAAACCCAAAATCTTTCATAGAAGAAAAACATCCTCAACTGTTTTCTTCTCTCTAGGATAAACGAGCCACAACTGCAACAAAAACATACCTGATCTGTGGGTAACAATGGGAAATCTTCTGGGGGGTTGGTGATGACATAACGTTTGGAAGATGGGCTCCGTACGGATTCGTTGGTGTCTCTGAACCTGTACAGTCCTATGCATAAGATGCCAAAGTGCCTCAGGGCGTACACAAACAGTTCTCCATAATGGCCTCCTTGCTGTTGACGGAAGCACAATAAACAAGACGGTGAAAGACAAAAGCTCTGGATAGTCATGGGTAAGTGGCTACTGATTGCTATCACAACATTTCAATTCCAAATCAATCCTTTATATACGTCAAGATCATTTAAAGACATCTGAAGCTAAGTAGAAGGCAACCAAGACTAGAAACTTTCAGTATTTTTTAAAAAGTCATTTTGACAGACTGCTATGCAAAGCGTACGGATTGGATTAATGCGTAAATTTCCTCTTTGGAAAGTGGTGGCACAGAGTTCCCCACGTCGTTTGGATACGATAGTCAAACACGCCGTACAGATAGGGTTAATATTTTAAATAAAAAACTTTTGTTCAAAAACAGAAATTCTGTTTACAAAGATACATTTGACAAACTAAAAAAGTTAGTCAGTCCTATGAATTCATACAGTCGCTGGAGCTCACCCCAAATTGTGCCAAGGGTCCATCAAACAGGGATATCTGTGCCACCCGACATCTGTCCCGGTTAGCGAGGACAGCTGGAGAGCAGTAGCCTCCCCTCATGCCTGCCCCTTCAGCCAGAATCTGTTCCAGCTCTGGGGTGGCACCACCAGTGATCAGAGTGCGGATCAACGTCAGTGCATTGTCATTGAAGTAACTCTGAGGAAATACACAGCCATATATTGTTTGAGTAAACAGAAAGATATCAACACAATAATGATCATTTAAGGCAGGAAAAAGGTGAGACAAATAAAAACAACAGAGATAAAGAAAAGCAGAAAGACATATTTGTGGGACCCTTCAACCATCCAAATGGCCACGCATTTAAACACCCAAATGGCCACGCATCAGAGTAACACGATCAAAATATTTCAGCAAAACAGTGCAATATTACTACTTTCCACTGGATACCAGTTCAAATAATACATATATCAAAAAGAAGTAGAAAGAGGAGATCAAATTGCAGTGCCACAAAGCACTTAGTGCAAAATAACTAAAGCATGTGTGCTAGCCTAGAGGTTAGGTTCAAGTAGGCAAGGATGCCGATGCTTTTCTCAGCTGAAGTAGAGCACCTCATCTTCTTGGAACTGACAAAAAATCTATTCGTCCCCTATGTACATGACAAACATTTAGCTACTAAAAGATGAAGAAAAGAGGTCAGAATGACTGGCTTCAAATAAGATAAGAAGTCACACATATAAAAATGCATGCATTGCAGATTGACAAAACCTGCTACCAAACGAGATCAGTTTGAATGCTGAAACAAAAGAAGTACCATACCGTGCTCATAAGCGAGTCGAGGACACTGACAGCGAAGGCGGTGCCACAGGCAAACGGCTGGGTCATGTACAGCTCTGTGTCTGGGTCATCATCATCATCTTGATCCAGGAACTGAACATTAGAATCATTTGCTGAAAGAAAAAAATCACAGAGCTGAGTAGCAGTGTAGTTTATGCAAGTACTAAATGAGTCAACAGGAACAGACTGGTGAGATGAAAGCCCTGAGAAAAAGTAAAAGGTGAAGATCAAACCAAAGAGCTATTAACAACCCACAAATGACAAGGTAAGAAATATTTGATGTTTTTGAATGTTTGTCTTTGAGAAAAGTGTCTATACAATCAGACAAAAATTTACGAATAACTAGAATAGAAGAAAGACAGGGTGATCCAAAAAAAAAACTGTACAACTTTTTTCCTAAATATCTCGCACAAAATTTGCACAAGAATGTTGTGATTTCGAATATTCAAAAGGAATTTGTTTGACATAAAATCCACAAAAAAGATACTTATTTTCGAAAACGGAAATGACTTTTAATAAAACCACCTATAAATGCAAAAGGCACCAGTTTAAAAGATCTCGTAAGGAAGATCATGAAATGATTGGTTTGTTTTTTCCTTTCCTTTTATTTAAAAAAAAAAAAATCTAATCTTTCCATCCCTGCAACCTTTAAACAATATTTCTTTTCTCCTACAGAGCTATATATTTTTTCTTAAATTCTGGAATTCCGAGAACCAATGGTCTATATGCCCTCCTTTGGACGTGACACATTTTAACGCGTCGTTCGTAATGTTCAGTGGTGGCCAAACACAAGGATTCACTCAACCATGAGTGCTCAAAGCCAGACACACTGTACACCTTACAGTATGGGGCTGTGTCTAGAAACAATTGGGGGGGAAGGGGGCGTGAAGGTTGACCAAATAGACAGCATTTGTGGAGTTGATATAACCTGAAAGGTGAATACGGGCTTTCCCAAGGAAACAAATGTCATAGAGGGAATGTTCATACTTTTCAAAACGATCAAGGAATCATAAACACATTGCTATCCTTTGATAGCTTTGCCAACAGGAAAATGGTAGTCGTAGATGAAGATCTGCCTTGAGAATGCGGACTGTTGAGATCTAGGAAAGTCATTGCTGCAGACATTGTCTAAGGACAGACGTCTCATGAGGCCCACCTACTGAATTCTTCAAACCCATCTACTGAATTCTGCATCCTGATGATGTTTAAAGGGGAGCGAACTGTGCGTGTTTGACCTGAAAAAGTCGTTTTGTCTGGGAACTTTTTGTTCTGATTTTCTACAAGTCCTAACTGAAGGACCATTTCCACCCTTGACATCAAAGAAGGCTTTAAGGGCACTTTAACATTATTTCTGTACCTTGTGCGAAACTTACGAAATGAGTTGGTGATGAGGAAATGTTCAATACAAAAAGCTATCTGCTCTTTACTTATCTTAATCATCTCAGCAGGGAAAGGAAACTTGAGAAAAACTCTCTGCAAACTTCCGTTGGCCTGTTAAGACTACTGTAGTTTGTAATATGGTGCAATCGTTGAGATTATTAGTGGTAGGCCTAATGCGAACTAGTGAGTCATGCTACAAAAATGGTGACATAGCTGAAAATGGGTTGTTTTTTTACGCGCTATGAAGAGCAAAACTATTCTGTGGATTTATCAAAATCAAAATCAGACAAATTCCTTTTGACTTCCAAATGTGTACAAATTTGAAACGCAAAAACTTCACTGTGGAGGAAAATATTAACAAAAAAAGTTTTAAAGTTTTTTAAAAATCACTCTGTACCATAAAGCAAAACTTGTCAAGTACGCACAAGACTGTTGTTTACACTGATGTACATACAGTCGAACCTGTGTAAGACGGAATCGCAAGGGAGCCAGATAAAAACTCTGTCTCAGACACTTTCCGTCATAGGTGAACTTCGGGGGTGGGGGGGTTGAAGGCCCAGCTGGTGGGATTAAAGGTCACTTGTCCGGTCGGCAAGCAGTGGTCAAAACTGCTGTCCTCTCTGATAATGACATGGGTCAGTCGTACTTATCCAGTGCTTGTATTAAAAACAGAAACGTTTGAACATCTCCTTTGCTTCCAGCCTTAGCCCCACTCATCGGTGCAATAAGCACAGCTACCAAAGCCACCCCTCACTGCCATGCAACAACGATACGTGGAACTCTTTTCTCCGTTGGCCGTACGATCAGGGTGGCAGGCGTTGGTCAAACTAATTTCACACCTCTCGATGCTGGCTACCCAGGCGGTAGTGTCTAGCTACTCGAGCACTTTCACTGGCACTCGTGAGATTTCGCACCCACACTACCCTGAACCCAGACCATCTGCGCCGCTCAGGGCTCACATAGAGACGGGGTAACATCTGCCCCCAATAGCGTTAAGTTTAGAGCAAGCGGGACCAAACTTGCGAGTTTTGTTTCAAATCAGAGCTGAGCGGGCAAAGTGTTTCCGTCTTAGACAAATGAAACCCTCGAAAGGGAGCAGATTTTTCTTTCCATTTCCGTGTTGGACAGGTTTCCGTTTTACAGGTAATTAAAGAGGAATATATTAAGGGGGGAGTGGGGAGATTCCGTTGAGACAAGTTTCCGTTTTACACAGGTTTCTGTTCAGGCAGGTTCGACTGTACATATATTCAAGGCAAAAAAAAAAATACAACCAAATTCTGATTTTGAAAGTTAGTGGTGGAACCAAGACAACAAACAGAAATTACCAGACGAGCAGAAGAAAAAACTAGATTCTTCAGTGGTATTTCTAATAGCCCAAGCCAAACATGGAAGCCCGTTACTATAATGCTTGAAACAACTAGCTCTGCAATCAATTCTTTTTACAATCTACTGCATCTCTGAGAGACCAAACCTTACCCAGCTCAGTGATCAAAGGAACATTAGCACCGGCTTGAGATCTCTTGTTCTCATGCAGAGGTGAGAAGCCTCCCGGGACGAAATCTGTCAAAGAGAAGAAAAGAAATATACTCATGGAATTATCAGTCGTCAGAAGATGAGCGTATTCAAAACCTTATCACCAATTTTAAAAAAATATTTTTTGGTAAGTGTTTTATGGTGCTCGCAACTGTACAAGGTCACATGAGCGCGCAAGACACAATAAACACATTCAGTTGGTAGGATATTTTGAATTTTTCGCGAGTGGCAGCTGAACCTACTCTTATCAATTTTGGACAACCAAGGGATCTTTAACATGCACAACTTGCAAACGTGACTTCTGAAATTTTTCGCCCTTGCCCCAGAAGGCTAGGTGTAGATCTTTCCCACCATAAGATCAGGGGTGTCGCTGAAAGACAGCAGTAAGAAGGAGCCAAGGAGTAGCAGTAGAAAGGCTGCAGAAAGAGTCAGGAGCCCAGAGGAGGGGGCAAAGGAGGAGAAGGGGTCAGGGCAGAAAGTGGGTACGAAAGCAGAGGACAGAACATTGCTTGAGAGCAGGAAAGGAGGTGAAAGGAGACAATTTAGAGAAGAAAAATTTCCGTCACTATCCGCCTCTCCTTAACCTCTTGGCCATCACCAATATGATGCTGTAAAGAACATACAATACCCAACATCAGTAAGACGCCATAAAAGAAAAAGAATCCCAAAAGCACAGACTATAACGAAATGTGCATCAACCGATCTTGCAGCGTAGTTTATAAAAACAAACTGCTGTCCAGCAGTAGGCGAAAAAACGGTTTCCAGGTTCATAGAATATCAAGAAATATTGGTGGGGACCTGTCACCTCTAGCTAAAAAAACAAATGCATTGAACTATAGAAAATTGCAGTATGGTGTAAGTCCTAAATTGTGTATCTAATAAAGTATTGCTGCTGCCATGTGTAGGTCATTCTGAAACAAAACTCTCTATGGAGATCCATGAAGTCGTTTCTTTTGTAATTTTCTCATACTTTTATTTTCATAAAAGTGCACTTACTTGAAGACTGAATGAGGCCCATGGTGTCGTCGAAGGTCATAGCCTTGATGTTAAGAGAGCACAGAATGGCTTCTTTATCCACCAAGTTGGGGTCTTCCATATTGCGATCTTTGGCTGACACAATGACACACATATCACACAAGTTGATGTTCACAGCCCGCAAGTTGGCACGATTCAGAGGAGAGCCCTGGTGGACACATGGAAAAAAAAGAGTTTAAGGCCTGGGTCTTTGGGAATATAGCTTGGATATTCATCACACAACATGGAGTACACCAGTCGCTGTTGTTGTTGTCCTGCTCAGTTTTCACTCTTCCGCTAGGTAGTTTTGCTGTTTCGTATAATGAAAGAATAGTGTCAGAGGTGACAGAAGTAAGCTGGACTACATCAGTAAATGAATTACAGTGGAATCCTATTAAACTAAACATGATTTATCCTAAAACAGCAGTAAACCGAAAGAAAATAGAATCTCACGATTTTTTTTTTGCCAAGTAAGTAATATCTATAACCCAAATATACCACTAAACCAATGGAAATCCCATGGTCCTGCAAATTTTGGTTTCAGAAAACTCCACTGCAATTACTATATTGTGTTCCCAATTACATTTGTCTAGCATATCATGTACACTTGAAAGAAAATTACTCTTCCGTAATACGTGGACAAGAAAAGCAAAACTCACTGGTAGGATGGAGAGTTTTGGAAAGTTCTGCAGAGTCTTCCACTCCCTGTGGAGATAGTCCAAGTTGCCCACGATGATAGTGGGCTTCAGCTCATGGTAGTGGAAGTTGCTGGCCCGCAGTGGCATCACCAAATTCCTCAAACCAATCAGAGGAGAGGCAGCATCGGCAAAAAGACACACAACCACATGGTTACGCAGGCCGCTGGCAGATGCTTGGCTACGATCCTGGTTAGACAAAGCAGAGGAAACAGAAGTGATGAAATATTGAAATTAAGAGGACTTTTTTATTATATCAAACTGGGGAGGCACTAGAACTAGAAGATCTGAATAAGTCACTCTTTAGAGCATTGCCAAAAAAAGTGAACTGCATTGGACAATCAGTCTCATGAATCATCTAATTAAAGTTTTCCTGAGGGTAATAATAAAAGGTATGAGAAATAAAACACTATCAGAAATCTCCGAAATGCAATTAGAATTTGTTGCACATAAAAGTACCCGTAATGCCATCTTCACCATTGAAATGCTAATGGAAGATCAAGTGAGGTCCAGAAAGATCTTTACCTCTGTATGATTGACTACTCTTAAGCATTTGACTAAGTGAAACATAAAGAAAACACCCTGGCAGATCTAAACATAGATGGAAAAGACCTAAGAATTCTGAGAAACTGCATTCTACATGACACCATCATCTGCCTTTTCAGTTAGTTTTTTTAAAGCTGTTTTTCTTTTCTTTTTTTAAAATAAAATAATATAGCACATGACAATAGCTTTCTACAGGGTTTTAAAGACCAAAACATAATCTAAAACCCACTTCAATCACATACTTAACGTGAAATAAGCTCACCTGCAAGCAGTCATTGAGAGGTCTATCCGGGCACCAGTGGAACATTCCAGTTGAGTCAAACTTGCGAGGCTCGTCCACTGGCGGAGGTGGTGGTGGAACCGAATCCTCCGAGGGAGATTTGGACTTGAGAGTGGTCGACGGCCTGCTCAGTACACAGACAGAAAATCCAAAAACGTTATTTTATTGCTGTAGTCATTGAAAAGTTCCAGGCTTGCCACCTTTTTCAAAATCAAATAAGGGGCGTCAAAGTAATAACATCAGACTACATAACGACAAAAACAATTCCATCAAGTGGGACTGGTTTTGGCAAAGTGTATGTAATAATGCTCTCGAATTCCTGATTGCCAAGTCCGGGACAGCACCGGGAAATTCAGGAAAGTTGGCAAGTCTGCAAGTTCCCGGGATATTAGCCAACGTTTGCCAGAAACTATGCAGCCAACAGAAACACTGACAATAAACTGAAGGAAAAAAGGAGCAGACCCCGTGAGAGCCCTCATCAACTTTCCCCCATACAGCGTTGAGCAACATTCCTTTCGTCTGTTGGGCAATTCAACACCAGATCATAACATTTGTTTGGCGGAGACTGCATCACAACAAGCCCCCTCAACTTTGAAAGATGTGCCCACAATGTCTGTGCCTTTCTGTTTAAATACAGGTTTGAATAAGAGTTAAAATTATTAGCCCCAAAAGGAAAAGGTGGTTTACCCATTTTATTCCAAGAATAACCCTTTTATAGTATTGTTAAGTAAAGCACACCTCACTCGAAGAAAAGAAAATACTGTATGGAATAAGTTGCAATCATGAGGGGTTTTCATACACAAATGGTCAACTTAGTTTTTGTACTGAGCACAGCCAAACAAAACCAATGAAACCATACAGACTACGGGGACAAAATTGGAAGGCACAGAATTTAGCAGCAGGCACCCTTATGCTCTCATGACCCTGTATGCACGAGATGCATACACATGACTCATTCCATGCTCCTCAGAATTACACACACACACATGTCACAGAAGTTGCTCAAGCAGACTGTCTTCACTCAAAAAAAACAAAAAAACAAAAGCCATAGAGATCATAAGGGAAAAAACTGTCTCCTGCAAGTGGATTGCGCATAGTGTCCCTGCTTTCACAGCAATGATCAGCACAGGCTCATGTTCAAAACAATTACAACAAAGCAAACAGACATTTCTCTGCCATGCAGTCCCGGCATTGACAAGATAGAACTGATGCGGTGCTAGCGAGTCGTACAAGGCGACTAAATGGCGAACCAGGTTGTGACTCCTTAAATGGAGTCATCCTCCCTCCAGGTCGGGGGTTGAATCATGAGGCTAACAACCTCTCACGTAAAAAAACCGTTACAGAAACACATACAAGCAAAAACCATTATCTCTGCTTGGCTGGTCGTGGATCTTCTCCGAATGGCAGTGAAAGCCGAAAGAAAGACAGTTACAGCAGTGGAACCTACAGGGAGCATGAGGCAGAGGAAGGCCACGGGAAACATGGAGGAGACGCGTGGAAATGGACATGAGAGAGAGGCAGCTCACTTGGAACGAGCTTGGAGGTATGTCCCAGGACAGAGATGAATAGAAGGAGATTGTATGTGGCCTATACCCTGCCAGGGGTGAAAGGCATTGATGAAACAGACAATTCTGATCAAGCTGTCAGTCCTTGTACGCGGGTGTTTATCAGTGCTATTCCTTTGCCTCGTAAAAACCTCATAAAAACTGAAGTAGGATGCATACTAACGTATGTCAATGAATAACCTACAGCGATATTTGGATGTAGTTTTAAATACAGTGGTCTTCACCAAAGATCATTCCGAGTAAGAATCTGGTCCTCCTAAGAACTCGCTTTGATAGCGGAATAGATTTTTTCCCTATATAATTTGCCTGCAGAAGAAGCCATTTAAAAATAAAAATCTGCCAATTAATCTAGTTTAATCTCAGGGCAATAAATTCTTTGCAGCTGCTTTATCATTCTTTGCATAGGTCGGGGTGAAGAGAGAGGGACTGACGTGGACTAGCAGACAATGAACTCTACACACCACATGTTCACTTACAAATAATGTTTTCTTAGTCATGCACGAGAGCTGTGCCAAGCGGGTCAATTGGTAACTGGTTCTTGATTGGTACAATTATAATTTGCTCCTTTCACTGAGTCAAACATTCATTTTGTTTATTTAAAGCTGTGCCATTCATGATCAATTTTTTCCTTCACCTACACAGAGTTGCACCTGGTGCTGTTTCATAGTTTTAATAGGCTATGAAATCATAATGACCACGTTGTGTTGCAAAAATTCACTCTGAAGCCTCTGATTCTGCACTTACACCTAAAACAATACACACCGCTCTGACATATTCACTCACACACACACACACACACACGCACACACACACACACACATGTGTGCATTTGAACAAAAGAAAAAAACCCTTAAAAAACCATTTAGCTTCCCATGGCTGTCAGAATCACTTATAGGTCATTATTTCATCACAGAATAAATAAGGGATGTCAACAGGTGGAAACTGATATGTGCCCCTTTAAATCTATTGAAAAACCTGCTCTGCTTAAGAACCCATATTTTCTGACTCCCAATGACTGGGTTCTTAGGCAGAGACCATTGTACTAGCAATACGCCACCATGGCAATCAAGGGTGTGAAAAAGAAATGGACACCGCTACTAGATGATGCATCATTCATTAAAAACAAATAACAAAGAGAAGGGGGATTTATGGGGAAGCTTTAAAACCAAGCTCTCACTTCACATGACACCTGCCTTATCACAAAGCAAACAATAAATACATTTTGAAAATCACTATTCTGAGAGGTACTTGTAGAGAACTTTCATTCTTGCCAAGCACATAATTTTCAAAGATCAGAAAAACGACTACAACAAGATCAAAACTCATGACATCGTCCTTACTTATAATTTTCATTAAGAGCTACAAAAGAAGCCATGTAACAAAAAGAGTAAACACGGCAAAGAAGAAATTCAAGGCAACATCTTGAACGAGAAATTAAAAAACAGATGGAAAAAATAAAAGGATTCGGTATAGGTATTTCAAATTCGTCTGAAAAAAACCAGGGAGCACTTCTATACGAGCTTTGACTGTGCATTTGTCAGTTATTGTGTGAGGGTATAAAGAGATATTTGGGTAAAGATAGAGAGTTATATGTTCTACAACTTGCACAAATGTTATTATGTAAGACATAAAACAGGGTTGAATTAAATACAAAATTCTAGAATGAAAAATTCAATATAAAGACAGGTATGCTGTTATGCAATATGTTTTCTCTTCATTTAGCAGACCAGAAGACCTTCACAAAACTGAACACAAAGGAAAAGACATGAGACTGGAAAAAAAAAATGGTAGAAGTTAAACTGTCTCTTTTGTTTTGGCAAAAAGTCTGAAAGTCACACCACTAGAAAAGAAAACATCCGTTAACGAAAGACAAATTAAAGTGTAGCACACGTTCACATACACGCAACATAAACCACAAGCAGGAAACTTGCCAGACCTTTGAAAGTAAATATTAGCAAATTAAAGTTTATCAAAATATTGCATCCAGGAGCAGCCCAAGTAAAGTATCATAAGGGGATATGCCAGAAATCAAATCAATTGCTCACAAAATACACGTGTAAGTACAGAGATATGTGAAAGTTACAAACATAACGTAGTGGTGATCACTTTTCAATATTTTCCCCCATAAAAAAAGCAAAAATTATTCATCACGACAGCTTTGCTATGTAAAGTCAGTTTATATACAATAGTAAAGGCATCACATCTAGGTCTCAAATGACACAGCTCAAACAATCATTTTTCAGTCGCTATCAATTAAAATAAGCCGAACCTTAAAAACCAAGTACCAAGATAACAGTTGACCACACAAGAGTGACCTACATCACAGGAATCACCAAGCTAGAGAATACTAGAGAAAGACCACAGATGGGTACTGTAATTATCATGGGGTGGAGTAAACAACTCTCCACCTATGAGAGAGAAGGCCATATAAAAGGCTTCAATAACCATATTCTGATGAAACAATGAAACTTCATCATAGTTACTTTAAATTGACACTGATCCGAAGAAAGACATGCGAATCTATTGTCTTTTAGAATGAAGAGAAAAGATTGCTTCAAGTCCTTGAAAAAAGTGACCCGAGGTGGGAGGAAAGAATCCAGAACCAATGAAGCAGCAATTCGGAGAGAGAAAAAGCAGACCAGATGACCAAATCTTGCAAAGGGGACAAAATTCATTAAATCATTTGTAAACTCTTACAGGTCTGCAAACCAAGCACAAATATCACAAGTGTTTAGTTTTAGTAGAGGTTTTACGGGGCTCGCAACTGCATAAGTATCACAGAGCGCGGAAGAAAAGCAAACTAAAACATTAGGCCTACATTGACCAAATCAAATTATAAACTCCCCCCCACCAAAAAAAAGCTTTGCCTTGGCTCCAACCTTGTCACATCACTCATTTTCCTTTTCACTTTCTCACCAACCCCAGACATTTGTATGGGAACTGCGATACTATGATTGGCACAGACTGTTCTCAAGGAAAGAGGATATGGCATGTATACGAAACAATGTGAAACACACGTTAGTTAAGATGAAATTGGCAAAACCCAGATACACGTTTTTACTGCCTAGTATAAGACTCTGCCATGTGCCATTTCGAAAAGTGACACATATATATATATATACATACAGTCAAAAACGGAAACCTGTATAAAACGGAAACCTGTCTTAATGGAATTTCCCCGCTCCCCCCTTGATATATTCCTCTTTAATTACCTGTATAAAAAACGGAAACCTGTCAACATTGAAACGGAAAGAAAAATCCGCTCCCTTCCGAGGATTTCACCTGTCAAAGACGGAAAATGCTTTGCCCGCTCAGCCCCGATTTGAAACAAAACTCGCAAGTTTGGTTCCGCTGGCTCTAAACTAACGCTATGGTCATTCGACTGGGCGAGGAAGGAGAGTAGGGGTGCAATTTGGGGGTAGATGTTACCCCATCATGTGAGCCCTGAGCGATGCAGATGGTCAGTGTAGTGTGGGTGTGAAATCTCACGACTGCCCATGAGAGTGCTCGAGTAGCGAGCCACTACGGAGACTTTCCTTGGTCCAGAAGCCAGAGGTGT